AAAAGAATGAAGTGTTGAGGTTGTTTTCTTTCTTTAAAATAAATTTGTCAGAAAACTTCAAACACAGTTATCTTAATTTGTTAAAAGTTAGAGTGCGAAAACCTATGTGTCTTCGGACGATCCTGGTGCCTGTTGAAGTTTAACTTTCTCTCAAATGGTCTTGGAACAAATACCCCTTGTTGTAATGTGTGTATTGGTTATTTCCAAGTAAAGAAATGTTGTTCTTATTGTATTAAGAGAGTTTATATGAGTTGTCAGAAGTTCTTTCTAGTATTTCTAGTATATTGAATGAGTAATTAACGTACGTTTTACTTTATGTTATTAGATGTATCGATTACGTCATATATGGCGCAAATTTGTCATGTATTATTCAGAACGTTACCGTTGGGTTAATATTGTAACCGTGAACCCAAAAGTGTTCATTTGTGAGCTCTCAACTGGAAGAAATAATATGTCTTGATTATTTTAGTAACAAAAGTGTATTATTATAAGCATTTTGAGTCAAGGACTTGTATATTTTATGTCAGCGTTTGACGTTATGTTTTTCTTCCTGCTTAGAATATTTACTTCCAGGAATTTCAAATAAATAACTGTGCAACGTCACGTTCGTCAGTCTTTGCTGTGTTTACATTTGGCTTGCAGCAAGGCTCAGCCCGGGGGTTCCTAGAGGTGAGAAGCAGCGCATTTAGCTGTATGCCTCGCGGTTTATCTTATAAGTAAGGGTCGTAGTTTAGAGGTAAGAAGCAGCGCAGATAGCTGTATGCCTTGCATTTATTTACGTTGTCATTGTAGAATTTATTAAGATAATCCCGTTTGGTCCGTACAAAAATACAAGAGAAAGAATGTTATTTTAGTAGCTCCGCCCCGTATGTAAATTATATAATTGTTGCTCGAATATTGTACATGTATGGAAATAATCAAATATATCGGCTGTTCTAGAAGTTTAATAAAAGTATCATTTTCTACTATTGATTATTTATTCACGCTACCAATGATGAGAGAGAACAGACAACAGATTTGACGGCCGTATTTATTTATCCCTTAGTTTAGTCACAAGTTTTGTGAGTTTATTCGTATTTGCTGGCTTTAAAACTATACAAAAACATAGCAAGAAGCAGAAATTACGACACCCCTCCTGAACATGACATTTCTGATTAAGATACAGTTCACTAAGTTGTCTGTCAATAAATGCTTGGAAATTATTGCAGATCTACCTTGAAAAACAACACAGACACACAAGTATATCAAGAATGATTGAGACTGTATGACTGTAGGTCTATAATATAGTATATATAGTAAGAAAATCAATGATTAATTTGTTAGTTTGGAGTCTATGACAAATAAAGCACTAGCATCTCTGATGTAATCTATTCTAACCAGCTGAATCTTTAATTGTTTCATGTTTCTACAAGCTACATCTGCTTTAATATTAAACATAGACTTCATAAAAGGTTGGTAAATACGATAAGGCCTCCATTTCTGATCAAACAAAATGACAGAGACTGGTATTAGATAAGCCGACTAGAACACAGACAATCAACAGACAAAATCAGAGGACAAAGAAAACTTAAAAAGAACAGAAGGAATCAGCAGACTAGATTCAGAAACAAAGACAGGTCAGACTGAATTAACACATAAAGAAGCTTCCTATAATGGTCTCCTGAGAATACTGTTAAACTCTTGAAAAAACATGGAAAGAATAAAACTGTCATAAAATAGATAAAAGAATAAGTTTAAGCAGTGACCTTTTGGGAGAATATTGTCATTTTAAGAGTTGAAATGTCAACAGTTGTTTCAATTAGCAACCTCTGAGTAGCAAACAATGTGTTTTATGTGTTGTTCATTTGGTATCAATTATTATTAGAACTACTATTCAATACAAAATATGGATAAAAAGATACTATAATAGTTGACTTTTTATTCAGTTTAACTTGCCTTATCTGGAGCTTAAAATTAAATAGACCATGTCTAAAATATCAACCTCTAATTTTGAAAATACCATTTTCTCTTTTTTATGTGTTGTTGGTTTGGTTGCTCTTATGGACACACATGTATACTTTTATATTTGCTAAAAACTGTAATCTTATAACTTCAAGTTTGTATATGTTGAAATCATCCTCAATTTATTCTGCTGAGATGTGAAAAATAATTTTGTCAATAAAAACCACCCTTAAAACATCAGCCTAATTCAGATATTATAAAATGCTTGGAAAGATAAAGAAACAGATATGCAGAAGCAGATATGATATTACAATTAACTACAGTACTGTAGTGATCTGCTGTAAATAAAGTAAAAGTTAAAAGAAAACAGATAGTAATCTAATACAGGCTATTAAGTGCTGGATTTCTAATCATGGTTCATTTTCTGGATAGTATGGTTTTTACCATCTTATGTTTATTTCTGGCAGAAGAACAAAATCATTAACACAAAACACCTCATGTTCTTGTTATTCTCTCCTCACCTTTGGAGATGAAATAAAACAATTATTCTACAACACCTGAGTGGGCGGGATTAACTGAAAAACAAGTCGAGTGCACTCCAGATGAAGTCCTGCATGTAGAACACATACTGATACAAATACCAAACATTGTTTGCTACTCAGAGGTTGCTAATTGAAACAACTGTTGACATTTTCTGAAATAAGCTCAACTCACAAAATGACAATATTCTCCCAAAAGGTCACTGCTTATTTCTTACTGATGAATCAGTTTATTTCAGATAATTTACAGCAATGTCAACTTGTTTGGAGGTGCCAAATACTAAAAGTACAGATATGCATCACTTTTAGCTTTGATGAATATATGTTAAAGGTGCACTCAATGATTCCATAAAATGGAGGAGATAAGAAAATCCTGCCACCTATATTTCTATTACTTCCATTTAAGAGAATGACAAAGGATTATTCCAGTGTACACATTTGTGGAAATATGGGGAGTCCCCTATAAGCATATATCCAAATGGTTCAATTTTATCATAAAATTTTCGAAACCAATCTGAAAAATAATTTCAATACAAATTCAATAGTTAAATCATTTGGTTTTGGGCTGTTACCTTGGGGCATAAAAAAATAGCTTAAGCATTAAACAAATCAAATCTTATGTAAGTAACAAAAGTATTTAATAGGCTTAAGTTTCCTGTCTGGACTCCTGGATTTATTTTTTTCTTATTCAAGGGCAGGTAATCTTGGCCTATATATATTTCAAAAAGGTCAGGAAACTATTTAGTACTATTCAAAGTGTTCCCTCTCAATTTCATGTTCTCTCATGTGTAAACACAAACATCAAAGAAACCATGAGCCAGGCTAGTCAATGGTTTTTAATACATATCTGAAAATTGTCAATCAAGCCTAAATTCAAATATTTATCATGCTTAAATTTATAGCAAAAGATAAAAAGTTTTACAAGTACAGTTCAAACAATATGGTTTGAATTTACTGGTGATACGTCATTTACACTGGAGACAACTTTAAACTTGAAACATTACAAACTGTTATGATAAAAATTAAAAGGAAGTCCACATGGGACTTTATGCAGATATAGTGTTTTAAACAAAAAATCTGTTCTGATGTAAAGGTGATCCCAAGGGAGCTACTATAATAGCAAGATTGTCAAAAACAAAATTAAAAATGTCATATACCTATGAATTTTGTTCCAAATCAATTTTGACTGTTTTTTAACTCAATATCGGGATTTTAAATTGCTTCAGATTGTTCTCAAAGGAGTTAAAATGTCAAATCAAAACCTGTTAATGCTTTAAACCTGATGATTGAATTTGAAATGTCACTAGAGGTTTTAAACTTGTTATTTTGAATTAAATTCATATTTTCTTTGCCTTGGGAGATTCTGATTTGCTTAAGGAAATGGATTGAAGTTTCTGATCTAAAATGCTGAGAATCAACTGTAATCATGGTAATTGAAGACTTCTAAGCATTCTAAAGGTCAAAGTAATAAACAAAATATAGTAGTGGATTACTTTTATAATGGCCTACTTGATTCATTGAGTCTACTAGTGTGGCAATAAAGGTAAAAGTAAGAACCATAACTCTAAATAATATGTGATAAGTTTAAAGGAACAGAACCTAAATTGTTCCTATAAAAGTTACTTTAATTTAGTCAGCAAGTGCTGAGAATACGAACAAACAGGCAACCTTCTTTTCTCTCAATCTTCATTATTTTAATTAAACTAAAAGATACATGTACTAATGAGTGTTTTTCTACACAAAAAGGGGGCTTAAGGAGGCCTTAATTGGAAAAAAAATTCTTTAGATGCATAAAGTAGGAGTGCAACTTGTTTTACTTTGTGGCATGCAATGACAATTCTTACCACAACAATGACAGTGTTTTTTCTTATTGCCTTATGGATGTAGTCATGTCAGGTTATGGAATTTTTGTCGAATGCTCAGACTCTTTGGTTTTTTTCCTACGATACAGGGTAAAATATTTTTCCCCATATCAACCAAGTTTCTTTTCATATAAGACTGCAATAGCTCATAAAAGGTCATTTACCAAAATTTAAGCAGATTCTAGATTTCTTTTCTTAGGATTTGAGACCCAAATAATGCTAATGCTAAATATAAGGTAAAAGTCTGAGTCAGCCTTTTCCCACCATTTTAAAAAAAATTAAAATATCTCGAAAAGGAGTTCCATAACCTATCAATATTTTCTACCTTTATGTTTTTTCTTAACTAATGCTCTTCTGATTTATAGTATCAATTTTAAATTCCAGATTTTTTTAATTTCACCTGACTACATCCTTAATACATTTTTTTTTTCAATTGAACCATGTTCTTTCCTCTTTTAGTTTTAAGACAATGACATTATTTTAAAAATGTCATGAAGTAAAGTTGTTAAGGGATGTAAGGTCAACATAATAATAATCTCTTGCAATGTTGAGAAACAACCATGCCAATGAATATATATAACACTTGTATTGCTGTTCCTCATCTTCCTGTTGAATTATATATTCACTTCTACAGAAATGTATTGTAATTTTACATTACCTGTACTTTTTCTCTTGGATTGACATCATCTTCATCTGAAGAACTTCCAGTGTATGAAGCTGTGAAAATAAATTCAAACAATAAGATTTGCAGATTCAACTTCAGTTATTTTGATTTCAACAAAAAAACTTTTTTTTAAATAGTTTTGCCAAGAATCAGAATAAAATTAGCCTCATCCTGGAAAATCAATCATTTTAATGATCTTTGCTATAACATTGTTGAAAGTTTTGAAAAAAAATCTTAATAATCTCAAGAAGAAATTGTGTTTATCTAATAAAATATGGAAGACATCAATCATAGCTGTTAAAATGACATGGCATGCTAAAATTTTATTTATCAAATAAAAAACTGTTAACTAATCAATAATTTATCTATTTAAGTGATTTATATCAGCAAATTCATACTTTAAAAGTAAGATTTATGTTAAACCTTATCTCAACATCAAACTGTGCATTGTACTTAGAAAATGTTTGAAGTAAAAATCTGAAGATATATATAAAGTGGGCAATTATAAATCATAAATCAAAAGACCAAAAAGAAAAGACAAGTAACAACAGTCCATAAAGCTTTACTCAGAAATCTAAAAATGAAAAAGCAGGGATAACTCGTTTGATCAAAAAGTGAAAATTGTTCCTGCTGGTGCATCCATTTTGTTGTTCATTTAAAAAAAGAATAAACATCGGTAATTATAATAATATTCTCAATATTTGTGATATAGAAATTTGAATCTAAATTTTGTAAAAATTTGTATTCACATTTTAACATTCATTGTTTTTTTATGATCTTTTTATTCACACTCCAAACTTTAACCCTTGAAATCGATGTCATACATATATAAGGTTTGGTACCATTAAAACGTTTAAACCTGCTGCATTTGTTTGCACCTGTCCTAAGTCAGGAATCTGATGTTCAGTAGTTGTCGTTTGTTGATGTGGTTCATAAGTGTTTCTCGTTTCTCGTTTTTTATATAGATTAGACCGTTGGTTTTCCCGTTTGAAGTTTGAATGGTTCTACACTAGTAATTTTTGGGGCCCTTTATAGCTTACTGTTCGGTGTGAGCCAAGGCTCCGTGTTGAAGACCGTACTGTACCCTATAATGGTTTACTTTTATAAATTTTAACTTGGATGGAGAGTTGTCTCATTGGCACTCATACCACATCTTCTTATACCTATGAATACTTTAATGCTGTATTTTTTACGAAACATGGAAGTTAAATAGTAATCTAAGGAAAACAAGTACATTTATATGTATACATGAATAATCAACGAAAATATTTGACAAGTACTTACTAGACCACAAAAATTTTGTTTACAGCTTGCAACTATTTTTGTATCAACTATTTCTTATTTCTAACCATTCGATAAGTTTAAAAAAAAAAATCATTGAGTGCAATAAACAGTCACATGCCCAAAATCGAAAGTAGTTCATTTCATAACGATGATTAAAAAAAAATCTACCTTCATTTTCAGGTAGACTATATCACCAATCTAATTCAAAATTCAGCACATTTACATAATTTCATGAACAGGCAATTTACAGACATAATTATTGTATCTCTTAATCATGCTAGACGGAAGGTCGTACAATCACGAGACTGATAGTCTGTCAGCATATGCAGCAACCCAGTGGTAGTAAAAAAAACAAATGCATGACTTGTTTTCTGAGGACACTATGCGTAACTGGAATAACTTTTCCCCGAGGACTGCCACCAGTTGTAAAGTTATTTTTTACATTTGAAGTTGATATTTAAGTTAATTAATTTTTGTAACATATCCATTCAATTTCATAATACCTGAGGTAAACATTTCTTGCAGTAAACAAATAATAATCAAACAGAATCAATTTAATCAATTACATCAATAGAAGATTAACAATTGCACATATTTTGTTCATCACTTGTATGATCTGTCAATCACCGTTATCTAATGAGATTTTCTCACCATCAATCAAATTAACAACAATAAAGCTCCAGGATGGTCTGAATTGGCTTCCTTAATTACAAATAAAATCAACTATAAAAGCCTTAATTGTAATAAAAGGACCAAGAATAGGAGGCTATAAGAAGAAGCCCAAGAGCAAAGGCCATGAACTCTGGAATCTGAACTCAATTAGTTATTTCTTTTCAGCTATGAAACATGAATGACCATTATAAAACATCTTTTTTTAAATGATCTGAGCATTAGAAACAAACACCATCCTTTAGGATTGAAATCGAGTCTGTCCGTCAATAACAAGGAAAATATTTATCTCTATCTTGTTAATCTAAGTAATTTTGGTTTAACCAACAGTTAAATAATAAATAAAAAAAAACAATTAAGGTAGATGGCAACCAACAACAACCATATCGCTACAGGCTCCTTGTTTGGGACATTCACATCAATGATGTGGCAGGAACTTGAAACTAGTTTGGGGCTGACATGCACCCTCCCCCTCTATATCAACAACAATGGTAAAACAGCACTTTTGAAAAATCAATAGTAAAAAGCTTGACTTATCAGATCTTCATTTATCACAGAAACTGAATAAAAAGAAGAAAAAAAAAGACACAAACAAAAGTCATGATCTAAAAAAACATAGTAAATTGAAAGCTAGTATCATTTTATCATTTTATTGGAGTGTGTGCTTGTATCTTAAATTATTTCAGGGTTTACATATGATGAAATATCATTTAAATTTAATCATTAATGCAATTCCACACTAATCATTCCAAATTGCTACAGTGAATGTTTTTGTAATGAGCTGGAACAACCACAGATTGTTAATATTTTTATAAACTGTTTCAGATTGAAATGATTGCTGAAGGCTTATCAATCAATCCAAACATTTTTACTGCTTTTATCTTATCTCTCATTTCCCTTTTTTCACAACAAGCCCAGACTGTTTTATGATACTGATCTAGAATGTTATATAATGAAGCACACACCAATGATAGTTAAGCTGATGAAAAAATATATTGACATATAATAGATAAAAAGCTAAAATGTTATTAATTTGTGCATTTGAGTTTTTTAGTCTTAACAAGTATAAAACAGCTTATTGATTCAGACCTATATATAATTTGTAAGCAAATGATGCTTTAGTTTTTTTCTGATCTTACAAGGACATGCAAAATACTGGTTATATTACTGGAACCGTTTAAAAGAATGTCATATTATTGGGTTGCTGTCTAATTAATTCATCCCCTTATGTTATTAAAATACAAAAATGTGTCCATAGTAAACGGATGCCCCACTCACACTATCATTTTCTATGTTCAGTGGACCGTGAAATCGGGGTCAAAACTCAAATTTGGCATTAAAATTAGAAAGATCATATCATAGGGAACATGTGTACTAAGTTTCAAGTTGATTGGACTTTAACTTCATCAAAAACTACCTTGATCAAAAACTTTAACCTGAAGCAGGACAGACAGACGAATGGATGAATGGACGGGCGAACGAACAGACGGATGCACAGACCGAAAAAAACATAATGCCCATCTACTATCATAGGTGAGGCATAAAAAAACTTTGGACTGCTTAAAAAAAAAAATGTCTTAACAGAATATCCAAGACCTTCCAAAGTCCAAACATTGCCTCAATGAGGTAATTGTAACCTTAAAGCATTATTGCAAATGCAACTATAAATTAACAGCGAAGTAGTAATCATTTGAGTCATGCTTTAGTATACCAAAGCATTAGCTTAACTGAATAGTTGGTTGCAACTATAAATTTACAGTGAAGTGCCAATAAGTAATCATTTGAGTCATGCCTTAGTATACCAAAGCATTAGCTTAACTGAATAGATGGATTAATTGATGGGTTGTGCTGACATAAACATCTTTCAAGCAATCTTTCTGCAAAACCAGTAGAGGAAACATTTACTGAGGATTCATTTATTTTCGTGGATATCAATTTTCATGGATAGAGGACAAACTTTATTTTCATGTATATTTGATTTTTGTGGTTTTGCCAAAGTCTGCATACAAGCATATAGAAAATTAGTACTTTGAAGAACATTTAAATAGATACTGATATTCTATGAATATAAACAATAATGAATTCACAGTACTAGTATTTGAAAATGGCTGCAGATATTCTTATGCTAATATCCCCTTGTTAAAATTTAATAAAAACAGCTTATCAAGTAACAGTTAACCACAGTTTGCCTGTGGCAGTTGTTATACTGGTAAAGAGATTTTCATGGAAAACAAATTTCCAGAGATTGAGTGGAACACAGGATTGGTTGAATATCACGAACATTTCAAAAGCATTATCTAGCAAAAAAATTAGGAAAAGAACAGATTTATAAATTGAAAAAAAAAATGAAAAAACATGATAAGACAATTTCCTGCTACAGCAGCATTGAATAGAATTTTCTCTGTAAATTAATTGTAATTGATTTTAATAGCTTTTTTACATGGAAGTGATTTATTAAACATATTAAATATAACTGCCTTTAAACTAAAACAAACGAAGCATGGAACAACAACATGATATTCTATGTCAGTCACCCAGATTATCTTATAATTAATTCAATTTAAATGTAATCATACATTCAGGTAATGTCTTGTTTAAATTTACAATTAGTGACAATGCATTTTTTTGACAATACAAATTACATAATATTCGTAACTAGATATTTTAACAAGAGTGCACACGCTGAAATGTCTCGCCTTCTTTTCTAATCATTGATATTATGTTGATAGTCCTAAATATAAAGCTTTCTTACAACTGTCACATAAACTTAACATTAACCAAGAAAACTAAACATTGACCAATGAACCATGAAAATGAGGTCAAGGTCAGATGAACCATGCCAGACAGGCATGTACAGCTAACAATTCTTCCATACAACAAATATTGTTGACCTATTGCTTATAGTTTGAGAAAAACAGACCAAAACACAAAAACTTAACACTGAGCAATGAACTGTGAAAATGAGGTCAAGGTCAAATAAAAACTGCGCGACTGACATAAAGATCATAAAATATTTTCATACACCAAATATAGTTGACCTATTGCATATAGTATAAGAAAAAAAGACCAAAACTCAAAATCTTAACTTTGACCACTGAACCATGAAAATGAGGCCAAGGTCAAATGACACCTGCCAGCTAGACATGTACACCTTACAATCATTCCATACACCAAATATAGTTGACCTGTTGCTTAAAGTGCAAGAAAAACAGACCAAAACACAAAAACTTAACATAAGTAATGAACCATGAAAATGAGGTCAAGGTCAAATAAAACCTGCCAGACTGACATGTACATCATTAAATATTTCCATACACCAAATATAGTTGACCTACTGCATACAGTATTAGGAAAACAGACCAAAACACAAAAACTTAACATTTAGCAATGAACCTTGAAAATGAGGTCAAGGTCAAATAAAACATGCCAGACTGACATGTACATCGTAAAATATTTCCATACACAAAATATAGTTGACCTATTGCAAACAGTATTAGAAAAACAGACCAAAACACAAAAACTAAACTATGACCACTGAACCAAGAAAATGAGGTCAAGTTCAGATGACACCTGCCAGTTTGACATGTACCCCTTACTATCATTACATACACCAAATATAGTAGACCTATTGCTTATGGTATCTCAGATATGGACTTGACCACGAAAACTTAACCTTGTTCACTGATCCATGAAATGAGGTCGAGGTCAAGTGAAAACTATCTGACAGGCATGAAGACCTTGCAAGGTACGCACATACCAAATATAGTTATCCTGTTACTTATAATAAGAGAGAATTTAACATTCCAAAAAATCTGAACTTTTTTTTCAAGTAGTCACTGAACCATGAAAATGAGGTCAAGGACATTGGACATGTGACTGACGGAAACTTAGTAACATGAGGCATCTATATACAAAGTATGAAGCATCCAGGTCTTCTACCTTCTAAAATATAAAGCTTTTAAGAAGTAAGCTAATGCCGCCGCCACCGCCAGATCACTATCCCTATGTCAAGCTTTCTGCGACAAAAGTCGCAGGCTCGACAGAAATTATCCAATATTCATTTATTTCTTAATACTCATTATACTGTAAAACAGATATCTCATGATTTTCTACCAATTTACAGTCAGCGTTTAGCTAGTTCATCTTAAGTTTTCTATTAAGGTTGTGGTAGTATTTTTACACTTCTAGATTGAAATAAAAACCAAGGGATTTCCTTTCAATTTCTTATGATAAGTCCTTGACTATTAGTCTAATACTTTTCTTCACTTTTCACAGTTAAGAAAGATAACCACATACAAGATGCAGAGGTTTAAAATAAAAAAAAAAATATACGAAAATTAAAAAAAAACCAAACAACTCAAAAATTTCTCTAATATAGTTGAATTAATATGTCTAAATATTAATTAATTAGGGGAAAAAGATTAGCAGGGGCCCAGTAGCCAATGCTACTGAAATTTTGGTTGGGCCCTTAAACTTTTATTAAAATGCCCATAGTGCTTATCTTGATTTTTCATATTGTAGCGTCAGAAAATGTGAAGTCTTATTCCCTGAAAGCGTAAATTTATTATAGTAATAGCACAGTGTCATTCTCAGGTTTATTTTTTTCTCCCATTGTCTATTAAGCTAATTGACTGGCTGTTGATGAAGAAATTTAATACATATTGAATTTGGTCATCAGCAGAAAGAAGCAAACTGAATTTACTGAGGCTAACCCTGGGTGACCAAAATGATACTGTTGCAACTATAGAAATGTTAAAATATCCACAGGGCAAATAAAAATCTTACAATATTTTACCATTCCCTTGTAGGTGAGGCCACAGAGTGGGCATACCTCTAGGATGATCCTCTGTGTCCACTGTACAAACTGAACATCTCTCTTCCTTTCATTCAAAACCCATACAGCAAAGCAAAGTTTAATTGTCTACTTAAAAACAAAATAATTTTTGTTATTTTTTTTCTAATTTCACTGGGGCCTCGGTCCAAGTGGTTTAAGTAGTTGAACTACTGTATCACTAGCCTGTCAACACTGAGGTTGTGAGGTCTAATCCTGCACATGGCAGGTGTGCTTGACTCCAATCTTAATTGACAAGGATTGTCAGCTTTCCCACCAAAAGTTCGTTGGTTCTCTCCCGGCATTCCGGCTTCCTGACAACCAATAAAAACTGACCACCAGGAAATAGCACAATAGTGCTGAAAGTGGCGTTAAACATTCTCCTTAAATTTTGCAGGTAATGAAATGCCTCAAAAAATAAACTTGCATATAAATATATTATTTTTGCACATGGGGAGCTTATAATCACAGTCATCTTTTTTATATTCCAATTCTATAATCAATTTAGGTGACATATATATAAAGGTGACCTTCAAAAAACTTAACCTCATCAATGTTACCAGAAAATGTGACCTTTAAAACCTTATAACCAACACTCTATCCTTTAAATTTCTATTATAACCTACTGTTACAGGTGACCTTGAAAAACATAACCTCATCAATGTAACCAGAAAGTGTTACCTTTCAAACCTTACAAACCAACACTCTATCCTTTTAATTTCTATTATATTATAACCTACTGTTACAGGTGACCTTGAAAAACATAACCCCATCAATGTAACCAGAAAGTGTGACCTTTAAAATCTTACAAACCAACACTTTATCCTTCACGATTCTATACCTACTGTTACAAGTGACCTTGAAAAACTTCACCTCATCAATGTAACCAGAAAGAGCGACCTTTAAAATCTTACAACCCAACACTTTATCCTTCACGATTCTATACCTACTGTTACAGGGTCACCTTCAACTTACACAGTGAATCAACACTTTCTCCAGTAGAAGAAGCATTACTTGATCTACGATCACTGATGGGCTGTAGTGACAAACGTCTGTCATACTGTATACTATGTCTTTTACGGCCTGCTCGAGACTTGTATGCATTGTCCCCTTCCAAATTCCGTATCTTTTCCGACATATCGAATTCATTCTGAATATTTGCATCGGTCACATTCCTCCCAATTTTCTTCATGATTTTATACCTTATAATCACAAACACAATATACTCCTTATTGAAAATGCACCACCGTACTTTAAGCTCCTTGATCAGTTCTGCAGAATGTTTACATTACAAGTAATTCATACTATGTCCAAATAAATGTCCCCAGTATATCAGTAGAATGCCATCAAAAGTAAACAATCATATATCTCACAGCATGTAAAATGTCAGGTCATAAAACAAACTATGCTTTTGTAATATCTTTCATTTATAATTCTAAAGTTCAATGCACCATTGTAAACAGGATCATTCTTCCCAATCTTTTAAATTAAATGTCTCAATAAATTTAATTCTTTAAAAGTACAATAACTCCACAGAATGTATATATATAGATATATATATAGATATCTTATTCAGCAAATCACATACCGCAAATCCAAAACAATAAAATAAAATAGAACAAGGTATACAAATTGTTTTGATGTAAGTATGTGTAAATCTACTTAGCTAACTTCCTATGTATTCAATAAGTAGATTTCACTTTTTTGGAAATTTGCCTGTGATATTTTTAGAATCACAACAAACAAAATAGCCACTGATGTCTTGATGATTTGTGTCTTGGCAGGACTACATCTTAATAGAATACCTTGATATCAAAACAGAAATCTTTCCTATGAAATTCATTACCAATAGCATTAGCTCTCCACCTAATACTACTGTAACTAGCGGTGCAATTAATGGGAAAAAGTTGAACGTTTGTGAGGTTGTATCCGCTATTGATATAGTCCGACAGTGACAGAAATCTGCACATACATTGAACGCTGTGATAAAAGCTCCAATGATGAAATCTATTAATTACTGTGTGACAATGGAAAGAAATACAACAAGGAAGAGATCAATTTCATTTTTAACACAAGGTAAGCCCTCTTTCATAATGCATGTAAATTTCAAAGATTTCCAATCAATGCTAAGATCAAAGAAAAACAGGTATTTCATCAGGTGTTATAAAGAAATATAAAGGATGTGATAAATAAACAACTTTTCCCACAAGAATAGAGTTGTGTTAAAAAAATTCTGTATTTTTTGTCGTATATTACATCATACAACTTGATGAGAGACAATTCAATGGGAAATTATGGATCATTATTTTCAATACAGACTGTTAAAAACTCTGATTTTGAATTTCATTAAAAGGTTTAAAATTTTAATGTACCGATTAAAATGTTTTGGAATATAAAAGTTTTAAGAAAAGTTATTTTAGAACATTTTCAGCAAATCTGTTGAAAGTATTTTTGCAGAGCTTTACAAAAACAATGGCATCAAATTAATTTTTCTTTTACCATTCTATGGCTGAAAGTTTTGTACACCATTCAAAGAAAATCCTTAACCTTATTTCAAAAAATTAAATCACACAATCTTTATGTCTCTGTAAACTAGTAACTAAAGAATTACATACATATGAAAAAAGTCTTACAATTGTTTAGAGAATATACAAAAAGCTACATCTGATGACCACAAGCTTACAGATTAATCCCAAATGTATCCCACCAAAAATTCAAATATGCAGGAAAAGTCAATGTTTCTGCTTTAATAGCAGATGTTTAAAGATAAGTTTTATTACAAAATCTTAAGTATTTATACTAAGTTCAAATATTGCAAAGTGCTTAACTGCATAATTTCTACATGTACACTTATTGTACAGGTCAACAAATATTTTCAAAGCATTTCAAAATTGATTGAACAGGCACAAATACTTCAAAATCAAAATTTCATGCACACCTTGCAGAAAATCTTTTAATTCTTTTATATCTGCAGAAGATTTACTGCGTATGTTCTTGACATTTAATGAACATAAAAGAAAAGACATTTTCTTTAAGTAAAATTACGTAAGTTCACTATTATATGCAATTTTTCCAAAAATTTATTGTTCATAATTTCAAGATGATCTTTTCAAAATGAAATTAGTAATATATTACACCATGAATGAAGACTTAATTTTAAGGACTTTGAAAAGATTTTAACCTCTTAATCACCAAAAAATGTATTTACAAATTCATTAGAATCAGTAATTGCATTTTAAGTATCCAATTACTATCAGTACTGAATACTAACAAAATATATAGAAGGCAATTATACAATTGTACTTTCTTTATTGACAACACTCTGATCTTTATTGATTCAAGCTGAACATTTCAATGGTAATCATAATGATGTCCCAGACAAATGTCTTCGACAAATCCCAAATGCATATCTTAGTTAATGCACCAATCTGAACAATTTAAGCAGGTTCAAATAAAAGATTAAAGTTTATAAAATGAAAAACAACAAAATCAAATTTTTAACTTTTTGTTCTAATGATTTTAAACCAAAATTCATAGATTATCATCCAATTTTTTTTTTTTTAAATTGGGGCTCAGGGGGTGGCAGTTATTATTTTCACTATTTTAATTATTTTTGGCAAAGACCTCTATCAAAATGAAAGAAATAGCCTCAAGTAAAAAAAATTTTGTGGGATCTGAAAAAAAATCGGGGCAGGTTGGGGATAAGAATATAACATGTTTTTTTGTTATGGTTTAAAAATAAACTGTCTCTGTTTAGAATTTGAATGCATTATTCAAAACTTTTAAACACAGTTGACCAGGATAACAAAAAACACAATAACCTGTAACAATGACAGCAAGAAATTGTGGTTCAAAATGGTGGATCCTCGAAAAATTGCAACTTAACTCTGGCTATGGTCACTGATACTGATCATAAAGCAGGGGCCGATTCAGGGGATGGGGTGGAGAGCGACTCGCCTTTTGATTGGAAATTATATCCTTTTGCAGCAATCATCAAAAAATTTTCCGGCAGTGTATATTCTGTTTTCTGGAATTTTGACCCCCCCCCCCCCCCACCTCTTTTTAAAAAATCATGGATCCACCCCTGTAATGACTCAAGAAACTTAACCTTTGATAGTCTGTCCTTTTAAATAAATGAATATGTAGGTTTAAAAATCTCCTCTAGTTGTTTATAAACACTAAGGTTTGACAGTTTACCCGACCTTTGTATTTGAAATTAAATCAATTCTGACCCTGGAATTTAAAAGGTCCTGCTTTGACTATCATTATGTGTAAAAATTTGTCTAAAAAATATTTTGAGATCAATTTTTTATGACAAATCATGTTCAAAGGTACGTTAGTTAATTACTATAATACATTGTACTATTGCATGTACATGAGCTATATCCTATTAATCTTAAACTTAAAGCTTTGGTCATTCTAAACCTAATCCTAACCCAAACATCACAATCATTAACTGAAACAAATTCAATAAATGCATGGGTCTCCTCATCAAGGCTTCCAAGTTTGCTTTAAATAATGAAAGGTCCAGGACCATGCTCACCATCAAGTGAAAAGTCCTCCTTCAGAAATTCAAAGGGACAGTAAAAAGCATCAGTATAAAGAATTTGAGGTCCTTGACTATTGTAATGCAAAAATTAAAAGTCTTCTTATAGAAAAGACAGGGACCAGACCTCAGACCAATAGCAATTTTATTCCTACCTATACTCTGTAAAAGTAATAATTTTTTGTCAGTGTAATAATTTATTATATTATATTTTAACCTGCAAAACATGCTTTTACAAACAAAACCACAAATATTGGATACAGAGAAAAATATTGTATTTCCCAAGAGGTATGCCAACATTTCTGAATGATGAGTAAAAAAAAACCAGCTGTTCTATGATTCTGTTACATAATCATCTGCTTATTATTCTAGTCTTCATAAATTAACAATTATTGTGTCCAATGTTTAAATAATATATGAACAAGTTGTTCTCTTTAAAAAAAAGAAAAGCAATACGTGAACCTAAGACCACTGACTGGTCACCAAAAGATTGTTGCTGAATTTTTGTTTGCTTTTGAATTGAAATAAATGACTGTGAATAGAAGAAGATAATGATTATGTTAAAGTACCTTTATTAAAAATATGTAATAGTGTTTATATTCTTGCACAAGTCAGTTGAAAGCAATGTTGGAAAGTTGTGAATAGAAAAGTGTATATACAGCTACTATTTGAATATACATTTTAAAGCTCGACTATTTCATTTATTACTTGGGAATGGGATTGTACATCATTTTTTCATAATCCTATTGCAAATCCCAGTTTCTACAAATCGGATGTATAATGCAAATTGCACAAACCATTAACCAATCGCAATATAAATTTAAGCACTCAGTTAAATGCTTTATAATCTTGATGCATTTATTTTATCTATCATATCTTTATATTTTGTTTCCTGCATGGATGCCTTCATATTGTCAACTCGTTATTGAAGTTGTCTGTATGGTAGATGTTGTATAGATAAATTTAAAGTCCGTTTTCCATGTGAAGTGAAATCCTGTGGCATGCAACTTATAAGAAGGTTTCGTATATTATTCTTGAGAGTAACACACCAGCTTCATTTGGACCTCTTATAAAGTGACTTATTTTGGTCTCATAAAACATCTCAAATTTTAAGGATTTCCTGATTTACTTAAATCAATCCAAATATTCTACAAGGAAACTTGGTTTCGAAGAATATCATATTTTCAGAAGTTTTATGAATACCTGAACATACAATTTATATAAAAAGACATGTAGATACATGTATAAAAAGATACCAGGATTAACATGTTGTACGCCAGATGCGAGTGAAGTCTACAAAGAATCATCAGTGACGCTCAAATAAAAATGGTTAAAAAGGCCAAATAAAGTACGAAATACCTTGGGTAGAAAATCCTTGGCATTTCGAAAATGTCAATGTTTACAAAAGGACAGTGACTCAAAAAAAAAAAAAAAACAGAAACCGCTAGAGGTCAGAATATCGTAAGCAATGATGACCGTGCTTGAAAGTCACATGTCAAGCTCTTACTGACGTGTCCTGAATTTAGATAAGAAAAGTGAAAATTTGCATTGGCGAGTGAAATTAATATTTATGCATGAACATGGTATTTTTGCTCAAGAAATAGCAAAAAGAAAGCATACACACTGATACTCTGTGAAGAATATGCATTTGCGTCATCACATATATTAATCTAATAGTTGAATTCGGATGTCAAACTACCTACCTCAAGTGTTTTGACTCAGTTTATTCTGGATCATTGTATATCAATAAACTATTCCCAGGTTTATTAAATACTACACACACAACGCGTAGAGGGACCGTCTTAAAGCATGAATTATATAATTGCGTTATCATTATACTTAATATTTAATAAACATTCACATTATTAAAAAACATATATGTTTTGTCAAAAGGCAAATATGTTCTAACATATAAATGATTTTAGAATGCAACCTAGTCTTTAGTGTTTTACTTTCAAATCTACAAACAAACTTTGCCGGATTGTTGAAATATACAAATTGAATGTCACGTGGTAGCCTATCCATAGAGGGATCATATCAAAGATACAAATAACTATATCTACCTGTATAAATAGTGGAAAATTTTTGAGACGTTCCGAGAATCGTGATTCCGAGGATATCGAGTGGCCCATAGACACTTGCAAAACTCGCCAATATATAAGCATGAACCCCTCAGGGGGTTCACGCAAAAATGCAAATGGAGTTTGGATCACACTATTATAATATTTTGATGTAAATAAACAAAAATAAGAATATGAATTTTGTGCATCAAAAGTGATTTTCTGGATTTTTGTTCATCATAAATGCTCAGACCCAAACATTTCTAGGCTAAGGATGTTTAAATACCTTTAAATGCCTTAAAAAAGTATAGCCAAATTCATCTAAGATCAACTTTGCCTAAGGGAGTTGAAACCTTAGTTTCTTAATTATTTTTTAATTTATCAATGAAATGAAGAATATCAGAAATTTTTCAGACATGCTGAGTCAAACTTAAAACTTTTGCAATTAAGTAACCTTTTCATGATTTATACAATCATACATGATTAAATGCAATTTTATACAGTACTATTCATACTACGCATCTTGGTTATATATCAAAGTGTATACAACTTGATATAGAAACACTGTCTATACAACAAATGAAATGACAAAATCTAACACAATTATCTTTTGATACCGCTAGTGAATAAACGGTAAAACATGATATCTCATTAATAGAACACAATTTACTAATAAAAAGAAATCAATATCCACTGATGACAACAGGATACAAAGCTTTGAAATACCAATTAACATTCAATTTGTAAACAATGGGTTCCTGTAAAGAAATGACAAGAGAACAGTCACAGTATCACTGGATTTAATGGCGTTGTGTAGCAGAACAAGGCAGCTAGCTGTCTGCAATCTTTCTATTGAGACAGAATACTGGCATTACATCCCAGACTGTTAGGTTTAGACCCTATAACTTTTTAATTAAGCTAACATAATGAAGAATTCAAAATCTAGAGTTACAAGAAAAAACAAACTATTTTTTTTTCACTTCAAAACCATACCACTTTTTCACTAGAAATCCATATCACTTTTTCACTCCAAAACCATACCACTTTTTCACAACAAAACCATACCACTTTTTCACTCCAAAACCATACCACTTTTTCACAACAAAATCATACCACTTTTTCACAACAAAACCATATTACTTTTCAACAGATGCTTTTCCATTGTAGATAGAGAGAATCAAGATAGAGAGACTCTGACAGTTGACTGTTATGATCAGCCCAAAAAACTTAAACCTGTGTACAGATGTAGACATGATTCTATTCAGTCAGGATGATTTTTTTGAAAGATGTCACAGTTTCCTTTCATTACCAGGTGAGACTGTAGGTGCAGTTTTGATCAGTCTGATAGGGTGTACTAATGGAATTTTATGTAAAGTTTGTGAGTCAGCAGCCCAACATACACATCAATAATCTTTAAAACAAAATTAATGCGTTTAATCTTTATAATTCTCAACCCATTTCTTTTTTTCATTTAATTTCAATTTTCTTTGCATGAGCCACAGGATTCCATTATTGTGCATCCCACATGCATATACATGTATCACAGTAAAATCAACATATTGTTAATAGAGGTTACAAAAGTAGTTTCTGCAACATGTTCTATCTAATTGAAAACCAAGTTAAAAAAAATTTAACGGACCAATCAGAAACAAGTATTTGTAGATATGCAAATCATATAAGAATTATAATACTTTGATCAATCAGGGAAATATTCTTTACCTCAATGTCATCAGTTTTGTCCTGAGTCTGAAGGGCTATATAGAATACTTTGACCATTCCAAGAGCTGCCAACTGTTTTATTGAGCAAAGGAGACATTATAGAATATGTTAGTGAGTCACAGATATGACAGATGCAAAATATTTTGATTAGTCAAAGACAGTGTGTAGTAAAATACTTCAATGATTATTCAGTCATGTTATAGAATCTTTAAAATTGTGTTGTGCAATCAGTAAATTTGCTGTTAAAAGTCAAAACATTCATGTGAATCGAGTGATCAATGTCAAACGATACTAATCTTCATCTATAAATGATTTTCTTAACGCCTTGAAAGCTAATTGAAATAATAAATCCTTTAGGCAAACATCCATCAGATATCAGCTTAAGTTTAATTGCAATCATTTGTACCATATTGCTCAGTAAAACGGTTCTGTGTCATAATGAAAATAATCTGTTGCAAGCAGATGTGTTCAAGATTTCTTGGTTTCTAATTATTTGAAATTTGTTTCTTTTCTAACGTTTTGGTTCTTTGGATAATTTATCAAAATGTTGAAATGCTTGAAATTGATTTCAAAATCTGCTTTGCATGACAGGAAACCAGAGATGTATTGTATCATTAAATAAATGGGGAATGTGTCCATTGGACACAGATGATGCCCCCGTCCCCCCCCCCCCCCCCCCCCCCCCCCTTTTGCATATATAAAGTTATAAAGGGGCATAACTCGAAAATGGTAAAAGGGACACCACACACATTCAAACTTGATATGTGTTTTGTGGTAATAATCATTGTGTATAAGTTTCATACCATATGGTTGAGGCAAACTAAAGTTAGAGAACGGAAACCAATTTCTGGACGTACGAATGGATGAACAGACGGACAAGGGTAACACTTATTCCCTCTTTCGGTGACCGCGTAAAAATAAAAATATTCAAAATTTAAAACCCTATGTTAAAATTGCAGTTAAGTGAATTGAATGGTTTTCAAAGAAATTTTCCAGCATTTGAGGCTAAAAATCAAAAGAATTGGTTTAATAATGAATATTTAATTACAAAGGAAATGTCAACAGATAAATTTAAGATAGGCTGCATATCGTCTTCTCTTTGGGTTCTGGGATCCGGAGTAGGTTCATGCATATTATTTGAGGAATATTTCCAAGTTTAAGACTTGCCATAGAGGTTATTTCTTTATGGACTGCTTTTTATTTATTCAAGTTTTTGTACAGAATTAGGTCAATGCATATACACATTTTTTTAATTTGCAGTTTAAGACATTATATTTTTGAATTGAAAGTCTAAGGCATTAAAGTTTTTGAATTTGAAGTTTAACACTACAAATTTTGAATTTGAAGTTTAATACATTACATTTTTTTAATATGCAGCTTAAGACACTCCATTTTTGAATTTGCAGTTGAAGACATTACATTTTTGAATTTGAAGTTGGAGACACTACATTTTTGAATTTGCAGTTGAAGACATTACATTTTTGAATTCGCAGATGAAGAATTATATTTTTTAATTTGAAGTTGGAGACATTACATTTTTTTAATTTGCAGTTGAAGACATTAGATTTTTGAATTTTAAAGTTTAAGACACTACATTTTTGAATTTGAAATTTCAGAAACTACATTTTGAATATGCAGTTAAAGCTCTTGTATTTGTACCATTATAGACTATGTGATTGATATAAAAAGACCATGATGGAGTAACAACAGTTATGTCATGACATCCAAGGATTTGTATACAAATCCTTGATATGATGACATCAATACATAATTTAGCTCTATAGAAAATCCTTGGCAACAACGTAACATAGGCTTAAACATCAATTTGATGACAGCATTTGAACAAAATAATCATATTATCATCTGGTTTACACTAAATGTTCAATACCCCAAATCTAATCTATCTGCACACAATTAATACCAGGAAATCAAAACTGAATTTATAGCATTGTCTGTGTGTATTTAGCAAAAGTCTGTAGATCATAATTATATATAAATACAATGAATTCATGATCACTTTTTGTTAACCATAGCCCTGAATATGTTGCAAGGATAGCCAATCATGAATTCAAATTTTTTTCAGAAATTATTTGTTCCTTTTATTATAACCATGAAAGTCAATAAGATAAACCAAAAAATTCTTTAATTTCAACAGAAGCTTTATATATACTGTAAATTCAGAAATAATTGCGTGCATTTATTATTGCGATTTATGAAGAATGGACAATAATGCAAGACTAATTATTGCCATTTCAGGAAATACAGATGCATATATCAGATATCAGAGTGCGAGTTCTAATTATTGCGATATTAACCCAGTCGCACTATTCGCATTAATAAAAAATTTGCGATAATTTCTGAATTTACAGTATTACAAAAACATGAAAATATGTTAAGTGACCTATAGTTATTAATAGTTTTCTCGTCTGAGTGGTTTTACATTTGTCATTTCAGGGCCTTTCATAGCTGACTATGCGGTATGGGATTTGCACATTGCTGAAGGCCGTACAGTGACCTATAGCTGTTGACTTCTATGTCATGTGGTCTCTGGTGGAGAGTTGTCTCATTGGTAATTATACCACATCTTCTTATTTTTATATGTGCACTAATATACAGTTGTGTGGATTTAAAAAATTAAACTACATGTTCTTCATTGAACCAAATGCAAGATAGAGCAAAAGCTGTCAATCAAAATTATAATATGTCAAACAAATATCCATATACTGGTACATTTTTGAAATATAAGTACCCTTTTGTATTATACTTCTATTTATTTCCACCGTGCAAAATTGCCTTCAAGTCAATTCAAATATGCAGAAGGTTTAAATTAATGACAGATTACTTGGAAATTTCATAATGAATACATGTACATTTGTACCCTTATCACTGCCATCAATAAAAACAGTGGTGGATCTAGAATAGGGCGTAGAGGGCATATCCCCCCTCTTTGATTGCCACAAAAAATAAATCTCATATTTCTCACAATTTATAGTAATATACAATTTTTTTTATCACAAAATCATCTTAAAAATCTCAGTATCTATTCCCTTTTCGGAAATTTCATTTCCCCTCCCTTTAAAAAATCTTAGATCCACACTAGGAAATGCTAAATAAATTGAGGTTTAGGTAAGAAACAATCAAAACTGTAAAAGATTCCTTGAAAAATATCAATATTCATGACAAACACGGAAATTACCTGATAAAAGATCCATTTTGTGTTACCTCAACAACACAACATTTAATATTAAACAACAATTAGCACCATAATCAGGTCACAAAGGGTGAAAAAACTGAAAATATAATGAAGCTGCTGACTACACATCAAAAGCAAAATAATAAAAAGGTGGGTAAATGTATTTTTCATTCAATATAGGTAAATCTGATTGGTGTCATGTGACAAATGATGTACAAAAAGATTGCATGAGCAGTGCTCGGTTTTTACAAATAACTCCGGAAGAACAAAAGTTGAATTATCATTCAAAATCAAGAAGCGCCATTACATTATGTAAAAAGTTTTTGAAAAGAATCATTGCTATGTCAATTGAAGGTCTACAGTCACAATCACGAAGAGGTCTGTAATCACTTACTAGAGACATTTTAACTTGTCTAAGATTCTACATGTTCAGTTTTGTCCATCTGCCATCCGTAACCTTTTTTTCATGTCTTACGTCAGGTGATGGATAAATATCACACAGTAATTGCTTAGTATCATGGTGTGAAGCTATTAGTTTCACGCAATATCACACCATCATGAAATTATTACTTAATAAATATTGGTTCTGGTTAGTTACTGTATATGATGTGGTTAAAATTCGATTGGCTAGAATTTGATATAGAATTTAGAACTTAATTTAATGTCACAGACAGGAGAAGATATTAAATAACAGTATGGGTACTCAACACCCAATCAAATTGCTTCATGTTGACTTTATTTAATCCTACCTTTTTAGAACATTAAACTTGGTATAATTAGTTTTATGCAAACTTCCATATGAATTTGCCTCAACAGTGCTTACTTAAACTTTGATGACATCCAATTATAATCAAATAATGACAACTGTTTAAGTTTTAACCAATGAACTTTTTATCATATCATTACATTTCAATCCCTGACATTGACCTCAAATTGTCAAAAACCATACATGGTACAATGTCAGTGGCAACTCATGAATCCATACATTATTTTGTTGAACTTCTTATAAGATTAAATTTTCATACATATATATGATGTATTTTAGATTCATCATTATTCGTTCGATAGGTAACGGTCACTAACCCACGAATTTAAATGTTCCACGAAGTGCACATTTTCTACAGATTTTGACAAACCCACGAAATGAAATATCCACGAAACAACAAGTTTCCTCAATCCACAAAAATAAATTAATCCACCGTATCGAGTTTCAGGAAAATTGTCATCCATGGACATTTATATTACAGTGCATACTATTTAATTTTATGCATTTTATGAACAATGATTCAGAATTCTTAAAAACATTTCATGCATTCATGAACACCTAAAATAAAATTTCCATACCTAAGCTCAAAGTGTCCACAGATTCCGCACTAAAATTATCTTCCATGAAAAACTATCTGTGACAGATCATGATAAAACTTTATACCTGAACTCCTTCCAGGGAACAATAAAAACAATACTAACTAAATAAACATTGAAAAAGACTACCCACACCTCAGCATCAAGCTGAGCAAAAAAAATGAACAACTATATATAATTATATTTAAACATCTATTTATGGCATTTCATATTCATCTTTGGTACTAAAAACATTTTTAACAAACATGTTTGACTTTAATTTATCTATTTTTCAGAAAAGAAGATTTTTATTAGTAACTGGAGACTCTTTAAATCAGGAATTTGCCAATTATAGTGAAAATAATGATGCTGAACATTGCTGAAGTAAGTTTCACTTAAATCCAAATCTTCATCAATGACTTATTAGATATATATGACTTCATCAACAGTTTATATCCCCATGACAACCCTGACCTAATTTAATATTATTTTATTAGGTCATATTAACTTTGTTTCATAGAGCAAATGATGAGGTGGTAAAAACTATTCTAATTCAACAATAATCTTATAATGTTGAAAAGGCAATTTTAACCAAATCCAGAAGTTTCAAAGATTGTTGCTATATTTTGTGTGGTCATATTTATTTTGGTTTCCATACATTCAATAAGTACTATAAATATTACACATTCCAGTAAATATTAAAAATATCTGTTCATTTCATTCCTGAAAAAATTGTTGCTACAAATTAACTAAAAATGCAGGAAAAGACTTGTCAAGCACTGACAATTTCTCAAAAAAACAACCTATCAATAAAGGATATTGAGGTTAATTAATTGAATAAAGATATTTGATTTCCAGATTCTAAACAAAATTTTGACAGTGCAGGCAATGGGTCATGAGAGTAAAAGAACTATTACAAGTTAAGGGAGGGCATGTAAATTTAGTAAATACTGTGTGCAATTCTGTCCTCCTTTTCTTTCTTCAACATTCTGTATAAACAGGAAATGTACAAAGATAGACAACTCTTGTTGGCTGAACTTGAAAAAAAGATATTTTGAGTTGTCTACCTTCCCATAAGAATAAGAATAAGAATAAGAATTTTATTAATCTAATCAAGAACCCATAAAGGGCATCATTTACAACAATATTAAGCACAATATGATTGGAAAAAAGAAAAACTATATCCTAATATAATACTATCATATATTGGACAGGATCAGAGCCTAACACATCATGTGTCTTACATAACATTAACAATAATTGCATAATAATTTTATATATTTTGTATCCACCTGGATCTTATTTCTAAACACTTAATTATATAATTGCCTAGGCACATAAGAGTTGGTAAATGCTCATTTGTGAACAGCCAGAAATATTTTTTATCCTTGGGTAATTCTTTAAAATTATTACAAAAACTGTTTACTTTATCCCATAATAATTTTCTCTGTTCGTTATATAAAGGACAACTTACTGTGAAATGGGTCTCATCTTCAATAGAATTTGATCCATGTGATAGGCAGTGATGACATAGACGCTGACTTCTCTCTATGTATTTTTTACTATACCTATCTTTCTCAATTTTAAGATCATGTGCACTTATTCTCAATTTACATATAGCTCTTCTTATATTAAAATCTTTAATTGATAAATAAGCCTCCTTTACGAAGTCAGTCTTGAGGTTGAAATAATTTTCTAATTTACTATTACCTTGTGATAAGGTATCAGATCTTTTGACCCCCCAAAATGTTTTAAAACTGTTACAAAGTTTACATTTTACAAATTTAATTAATCTATTGAGCTTTGTATTCAAATTTTGTATATCAAGTGATTGAAGGACATATCTCATAGATGAATACCAACAATTAATGTTTCCTGCATCTAAAATTTTATTACAAACATAAGCATCATAAAGTAACCCATCGTCCAATTTGTTAAGCCTGTGTACATATTTTACCATAGATATAATGACAGAAAAATAAAGAGGAAATCTTGCAACCTCTGATAACACTGCCAAATTTGAGGCTTTTTTATTTACACCAAGAATATATTTTAGATACCTGAAATGTGATTTTTCCAAATAATCATTTATGTAAATTAATTCAAATAGATAATCACTTTTTTTCTTGCAAGCAGCAGAGTTAATCTTAAAGGTACCCCAGATTTCACTACAATATAATAAAATTGGTTTTATTGTGTGATCATATAAATGGATTGCAGTATCAATACTTGGATTACAAGCTGACATGGATTTTTGTAGTTTAAATTTTGCCTTTAAGGACTTTTTGAATAGCTCTTCTTTCCCCTGCTGAAAAAGACCACTGGAAGTAAAGACTATCCCTAAATATTTATATCTGTTAACACATTCTATAGCCTCATTATCTAAACAAAGTGATTCCTTCAAAAATTTTCCAGGCTTGTTAAAAATTAAAACTTTTGTTTTGGACAAGTTAACATCTAGACACCAATCAATACAATAAGTTTGCAGGTTATCAAGTCGGGTTTGCAGACCCTGTTTAGTGTTTGATAATATAATAATGTCATCGGCGTACATAAGACAATCAATTCTACGCCCATTGATATAAACAGCATCTGGACTCGACTCAAATCTTGGAGGCAGATCGTTAATGAAAAGCTTAAATAAATTTGGGCTTAGAACATCCCCTTGCCTAACCCCAACTAGCGAGCTGAAAGATGGCGTTAGTACATTACCCACTTTCACCGACATTTCATTTTTTCTGTACATGTCTTTTAAAATAGTATAAAATTTTCCAGATATGTTATTTTCCAATAATTTGTATCTAATACCACAGTGTATGACCCTATCAAAAGCCTTTTTAAAGTCCACAAAGCAAGCATAAATTTTCCCCCCTTTTCTGTTAGTATATTTATCTAATATGGTTTTTAAAACAAACATATGGTCAGATGTTCTGCTCTTTTTTGAGAAACCAACCTGACATGGATGAATTATATTATTTTTATCAAGATGAATGTCAAGTCTTTTATTAAGAATACTGTTAAATAATTTTCCAATGCATGAATTAATTGCTATGCCTCTGTAATTTTCAGGTTTACTAGGACTCCCTGCTTTAAAAATTGGACATATATAAGACAATGACCATTTGCGAGGGTATGTTCCAGAGCAGAATATCAAGTTAAAAAGTTTCTGCAAAACAGGTGCAAATATACTACCCCCTGATTTTAATATCTCGTTTGGGATACCATCTAGTCCTGCAGCTTTATTATTCTTTAGTTTATTTATAGCATCCAAAATTTCTTTTAGGGTTATTTTGTAATCCAGTTCACAAAAAGTTGGATTATTTTCTAAATTTTTTACTTTCTTGTTAATTTCCTCTAATCTGTCTTTAAATTTGTCAGAGTTGAGATTTAAAGATTGAAAATATGAAAACCAGACGTTAGTTTGAATAGAATGTTCTGGACCATCCAAATTGTCTTCTTTTAATTCTTTGATGAGATTCCAATAACTCTTTGGATTATTATCCCTTAGATTATCCAGACTGTCAAGAATGTTTTGTTTAAATTTCCTTTGTTTATATTTACGTAGCTTATTATACTCCCTATAACATTTATAGTAAGACCCTTTTATAATTGGGTCCCAGGGGAATTTTGATAACAGCTCACCTTTAGAAATAAGGCTTTTACGTTTTTGTACCAGGTCTTTGTCAAACCATTTTTTGTTTTTGTATTTACGTGCAACTTTTTTCTTGGTTTTACGGAATATTAAACATTTACTGGCAGCATTATCTATTATATCAAAACATTCATTAGCTGCCTTTTCAATATAGTCCTCTGAAAGATTAAATTTTGTGTCTAAAAAATTTTTGATACTATTTCTAATAATATATATATACATACAGTCTGTATTTTTTTCAAAACATCACCATATGTTATGTTCTTTACTGAGCTGGATGATATGTATATTAATAAGTTGTATCATGAAAAGGGTCAAGAGTATGAAAGTACTGTTAAAATAAAAATATGAAATTACCTCAATTTATTTCACAATAAAAAAAAAACTACCAAAAAAATTGATGCAAATAAAGAAATTATTAAAATAATAAAAATATGCAACAATTTCTGTTTTCTAAATTTTTTGAAATAGATTTTTCAAATACACACATGTATTTCAAAATTTCAGTCTTTGACCACCTGAAAACACACATATTGTGCACAAAAAAGTAAGTACATCTGTTCCATACAAAAAAAATATAGTGTAATGATTTAGATCTACTCTAAAACTAAAATTATACAATTAAAACACACAAATGACAAAAAAATCAAACCAAACTGATTACTACAACAGAACTGAAATATATACATAAAAAGGACAAGGTTCATCTCTAAATCAAATGATAGAAAAACTAAGGGAAATAACTCTATGCCAAATTAGAAAAGCTTAAGCCATGACATGTGACGATTAGGTTCTGATGGCCCAACAGGAGTTACCATACCAGCTACCATGTTAAAATGAAATGTGTTATTATGAATAATGCATTGCTGAATTCCATGCATAACAGGGCATGTGTATGTGTACATGTGTGTGTGTGTGCTAAACAAAGTGTATAAATAAATTGCATTAGTTGTAATTTAAAAATGAATGAAGTTTGAACGAATTGTAGAAGTGGATGCATTGGAAAACTGATTGGGTTTTGATTAATAAAACAGATATTAAAATTACAGTCACATGTATTAACTATTAGTCAAAATGAAATCATAATTGTCTTACATAAAACTTGTGAACAGTAGTGAAAACGGAATTATTACGAGAACTCACAATGTTTAAATGATTGAAGTAGAAAAGAAAAGCTAGCGGCATATATATCATGTTACAGTAGAAAAAAGCTATTTTCAGATAAGAAATTCACACAATCTTTTTAAGAATAGATGAGACATTTCAGTGCATTAGTTCTAAGCAGCAGATTATGTTAATACATGTATTCATCAATGCAAATTACAAATTACAAACATTTCTGCTTATATACACATTCATGCAAGGCAAGTCAAAGTTTTTCCCACCAAGTACTTCCTGTACATCAGAATACTAATGGCCCCGAATCATGCACACGGTTAGCTATGGTGATCACATGACATGACAGGAAGTGACTTACTTGAACTGTAACTATCAGTTGAGGATTGAGAAATGGACCTACTGCGTAGCTTATTTCTACCATGGGTTAAATTATACTTGATATCCTGAAATCATAATGAATCAGTCAAATGAGTCAAAATGAATCACTACTTACTTGAATCAAAGCTATCTGTGGATGACGAAGCTGAAATTGACCGACTCAAAAGTCGCTTCTTGGTCGGAGTCAAAACGAACTTCACGTCCTGTAATAAAAGCAGAAATATTATGATAATGTCAAAGTTGAATGGTTCCTTTTTAATTCTTAGTGAGAAAGCTTATTTAACCAAATTCCCACAGGAATAATTTAAGAAAGAAATCCCCTCAAATGAAATTTATGTTTTTTTTTTTTAAATGATCAGTTTCATCCTTAGTTTTAATAAAAGAAAGATTTCATTTGGATTAGAAAGAGGTCTGACAATAAATGAAGGTACTTGATAGTTAATAAAGTATTATGTGCTATTCTTATTTATCATTTGCTCTTTTAAATAAAATGCTTCGCTGGGCGCAGCTTGATACGACCGCAGAGGTCGAACCCTGAACAGTTGGGGCAAGTATGGACACAACATTCAAGCTTGATACAGCTCTGAATTTGGATTGTGATTAAATATTTGACACAGCATAGGTTTCTGACACAGAAAGAATGTGGTCTAAGAACTTCAATTTTTTTAATTTACCTATTATGGTCCAATGTCCAAAATCAAAATACATGGTTAGATTCAGCATATCAAAGAACCCCATATATTCAATTTTTGTTGAAATCCAACAAAGTTTAATTTTGGACCCCAATTTGGACCAACTTGAAAACTGGGCCAAAAATCTAAAATCTAAATACATGTTTAGATTCAGCATATCAAAGAACCCCATATATTCAATTTTTGTTGAAATCAAACAAAGTTTAATTTTGGACCCCAACTTGGACCAACTTGAAAACTGGTCCCATAATCAAAAATCTAAACACATGTTTAGATTCAGCATATCAAAGAACCCCAAAATTTCAATTTTTGTTAAAATCAAACTAAGTTTAATTTTGGACCCTTTGGACCTTAATGTAGACCAATTTAAAAAACGGGACCCAAAATTAAAAATCTAAATACACGGTTAGATTTGGCATATCAAGGAACCCCAATAATTAATCTTTTGATGAAATCAAACAAAGTTTAATTTTGGACCCTTTTGACCTCAATATGAACCAATTTGATAGCGGGCCCACAAATAAAAAATCTAAATACATGGTAAGATTCAGCATATCAAAGAACCCCATATATTCAATTTTTGTTGAAATCAAACAAAGTTTAATTTTGGACCCCAATTTGGACCAACTTGAAAACTGGGCCAAAAATCTAAAATCTAAATACATGTTTAGATTCAGCATATCAAAGAACCCCATATATTCAATTTTTGTTGAAATCAAACAAAGTTTAATTTTGGACCCCAACTTGGACCAACTTGAAAACTGGGCCCATAATCAAAAATCTAAACACATGTTTAGATTCAGCATATCAAAGAACCCCAAGAATTCAATTTTTGTTAAAATCAAACTAAGTTTAATTTTGGACCCTTTGGACCTTAATGTAGACCAATTTAAAAACGGGACCCAAAATTAAAAATCTAAATACACGGTTAGATTTGGCATATCAAAGAACCCCAATAATTCAATTTTTTATGAAATCAAACAAAGTTTAATTTTGGACCCTTTTGACCTCAATATGAACCAATTTGATAGCGGGTCCACAAATAAAAAATCTAAATACATGGTTAGATTCAGCATATCAAAGAACCCCAAGAATTCAATTTTTGATGAAATCAAACAAAGTTTAATTTTGGACCCTTTTGACCTCAATGTGGACAAAGTTGATAACGGGGCCCAAAAATCAAAAATCTAAATACATGGTTAGATTCAGCATATCAAAGAACCCCATATATTCAATTTTTGTTGAAATCAAACAAAGTTTAATTTTGGACCCCGATTTGGACCAACTTGAAAACTGGGCCCATAATCAAAAATCTAAATACATGTTTAGATTCAGCATATCAAAGAACCCTAAAAATTCAATTTTTGTTAAAATCAAACTAAGTTTAATTTTGGACCCTTTTGACCTTAATGTAGACCAATTTGAAAACGGAACCAAAAATTAAGAATCTAAATACACGGTTAGATTCGGCATATCAAAGAACCCCAATAATTCAATTTTTGAAGAAATCAAACAAAGTTAAATTTTGGTCCCTTTTGACCTCAATATGGACCAATTTAAAAACGGGGCCCAAAATCCAAAAACTTAATACTTGGTTAGATTCAGCATATTAAAGAACCCCAAGAATTCAAGAATAAAACCCCATTGAAATTGATCAAGAAATAAGCAATTTATACGAAGTATCTTCTTTTGCACAATACTGTGCAATTGAATATTTCTTGCTATTGTGCAATACTGTACAATTGACAATTTCTTGCTATTGCGCAATATTGTGCTATTGGATATTTCTTGCTATTGCGCAATACTGTGCAATTGAAGATTTCTTGCAATTGCGCAATACAGTGCAATTGAAGATTTCTTGCAATTGTGCAATACTGTGCAATTGAAAATTTCTTGCTATTGCACAATACTTATTATATAATAATTTACACATCCTGTTTGGTGTGTATCTCCTACCATATCATTATTATTTGCTTTTAAATATTAATCAGAAATAACCAACTTAAAATGGGAAATTTTAAAAGAAAAAAAAAAGGAAAAAAATAAAAAAAAATAAAAAAAAAAATCCCCCCCCCCCAAATTTTTGGAACCCCCTTATGATTCATCACCCCCAAACTCAATCCCAGCCTTCCCTTTGTGGTATGGTACCTTGCAGTACAATTTCAGAGAGATCCATACACTTGAACACAAGTTATTGTCTGGAAACTAGAAAAATGCTTATTTTTGGCCCCTTTTTGGCCCCCTATTCCTAAACGTTTCGGGCAATTACCCACAAACTCAATTCCAGCTTTCCCTTTGTGATATGGAACCTTGTAGTACAATTTCAGAAATATCCAAACACTTACACACAAGTTATTGTCATGAAACTAGAAAAATGCTTGTTTTTTGCCCCTTTTTTGGCCCCTAATTCCTAAAATTTTGAGGCAATTACCCCCAAAATCAATTACAGCCTTCCCTTTGTGATATGGAACCTTGTGGTACAATGTCAGAGAGATCCATACACTTACACACAAGTTATTGTCTGGAAGTTACAAAAATGCTTATTTTTGGCCCCTTTTTGGCCCCTAATTCCTTAACTGTTGGTACCATAACCCCCAAAATCAATCCCAACCTTCCTTTCATGGTATTGAACCTTATGGTAAAATTTTATGGAGATCCATTCAGTTAAACTAAAGTTAGAGTGCGAAAACCAATGTGTCTTCGGACGACGCCGGACGACGCCAGACGACGACGACGACGACGACGACGACGACGACGACGACGACGACGACGCCAACGTCATACCAATATACGACCAAAAAATTTTCAATTTTTGCGGTCGTATAAAAAATGAGTAAAATCTTGCTGGGAAATTGGATTATCTTCCCTTTGATTGAGAATCCATGTGTTTTCCAACAATACTGATCATTCATATCTTTTTTCATTTAATGATTTATAGAAAGAAAAATGTAGGCTAACTCAATGTTTTCTATCAATGATCGAAAAAAAAATGTCTTGATATCACAATAGCGAAATCAGCATGAAGATGCAGACAATAATCCACATAATATACAACACTTGTAATTAGACTTTGAAAAACACATTCTGTGCTCATGCATGGGTATAATTTAAATTTGAAGTATCATTGAGCAGGAAGTGATAGCAATATTGTTTGAACAGTGGATCTTAAAAGGGTAAACAATAATATTACAACTGAACATTACCCAGTAGTATGAAAGATCTCTACCAAAATATTAAAATTTTCCTAAATACTATTATACTTGAAAAGCTGAGAAATATGTTTTGACAATAACCAATGCATGAATGGATGGTCATACATTTGTACACTGAGTGAGTGAAACTGAAGGACAAATAAGGTCATTGCAGCATATATACTCCCACCTAATCCATGCATATAATATATAGACAAATTTAATGAATCAGAAAAAAATTATCCCCGAAGGACATCTTCTGATTTCTTTAAATCTTAATAATCAAGATAATAGCTTGTTTACAAACTATGTGTATATATAAATTAACCAGTGGCACTGATGTGAAAGTTTCCCAATGATTACATAAAATATTCATCAACTTGGTTATTTTATTTCTCTTTTATTTTTCAGATAAGACAGATAAAGACTTTATACACGACCCATTGTAAAATGTAAGTTGTACATACAATAATATTACCCTGCTTTACCAGTGAAGACAGGTTTATTTAGTATTGATCACTATCATCAACCATTCACTAAAATCCTTTCATGAACGAGATATCAAAGAATAAGATATACAATGTGTAAAACTGTTAACCGCAGCATAATAACAGTGCCTACTGACTTGGAAATTTTCTTTTTTCTTTAAGGTTATCATAAAGTTGATTTCAGATATTTTTTCAGAACAAAATGATAAATTGTGAGCAGTAAAGCTCACAAATCCATTCCCCATATCTCAGTTTGTTATGGGAAACCCTTAAAGTTGGAAAGATAATAAATCTGAAACAGGAGGACACACGTCTTTGACAAACATGTACTGAACGAAAATTTAAACAAAACATTGCAGACAAAAAGTCTAAGTAAGGGCAAAATCACTTGGCAGGCAAGTTTTGAGAAAGTGGCTTAATTGTTTAAAGACATGACTTGTTATCATATCCTATCACAGAAAGTTATTAGAACTCCTCTCTCAAAATAACAATAGGGAAAATTTCAAGGGTAGATTTAAATGACACCATTGGTGACCTATATAGTTGCTTACTTGTAGGTCATTTGGGTTCTAGGGGATAGTTGTTTCATTTGCTATCATACCACATCTTCTTACTTTATATCACAATGTAGATTTATTAATTGGAAACATCTACATGGGAGTTTAAGAGAAAATGGTGCATAGGTTTTCAAATCATCAACCATGGGTTGCTCAAAACTTTTAACAAGTGGAACAAATGTACTAAATAACTTGTGGACAACAATTATTAGTGTTTTTCAAGAACAATCACAGGAACTTTGTCTCTGAAAAAAATTAAAATACATCAAGGTATATAGGTATTTGTTGTCAGAGACTTAAGTGCCTGTGATAACAACCCAGTCCAACAAAACCATGCTATCGAATATCCCCAAAAATGCAATTTTTCCTCAATCAACGAAAATTGGTATCCAGGAAAATAAATGAATCCACAGAACGTACTTTCAAATTCTACATAAACTTTCATCCAAAAATATTGTCCAGTTGCCCTACACTTCTGTACTTATAAATATGGTTGCTAAATTTCTTGAATGTTAAAAAATAGAAAAAAAATTAACTAAAGCAGAAGTAGAAGAAACCTAAAAGAATAAATATAAACCAGATAATAATGTTCTAATGATACAGATGGTATATGACTGTCAGACACGCCAATTAAAAAAAAAACAAGTCTATATAAAATCTCATGCACTAAAAGTACTACTGTACATATAAGTACAATGTATAATTCAGGTTTTCAGTGAATCACTGATATCAGGTGATTCGAATAAATATAGTAAAACTCATTTACCTAACAACTTCTTCATATTTTCTATGGGGGATTTTAAACACAAGTGGACCTAATGAACCCTAATGCATGTCATAAGTATTTTTAATCTGTTATAGGTTGTTTTAAATATTAATTATAAACTATGTGCAAATCAGGATAACAGGCAGGTCCCAACTTCGATTTACAGCCATACCATGACTTCCTTTTAAATATACAGTAATGATCTTTTCATATAACTTTCATACAGACATGTTTATCTCTACTGTCTCTTATATATATTAATTAGTGTGCCCTTCATGAGCCTGTGGTCATGGTTTCTGTCTGCCATGGTTGTTTTTTGTTTAATGTTTATATTTCTTTAGCTTTTAGCCTAATTGTTTATGTACATTAGGGGTCAGACCTATAATCAGACAGTCCCATAATCCGACAGTCCTGTAGTCTGACAGTCCTATAATCGGACAACCCATTAGTACAACAGTCCTATAATCCGACAGCTTGATAGTCCGATGCGTGGTCACTTGTCTCTGAAATATATGCCTATATAGACATGGAATGTTTGAAAATTGATATATTTTTTTACACAGAAAATTATCAAATCAGTCTGTATGACATCTTTAAAAAAAACATAAAAAGTAAAAAAAATTATAATCCTATGAAATATTGTGGTATTACTTTAGTGTCCGTTCCTAGCAAAATATACTGTCATGTTTTAAATTCACGATTGAATGAGTGGATGGCAGCTAATAAAACTCTATGCAATGATCAGAACGGTTTTCGTGAGAAGAGAAGTTGGGAAGAGCATATACATACGCTCCATACTGTCATCAATGATGGAAAGATATTGAAACTTTCAACTTTTGTGTGCTTCATAGGTATGCGAAAGGCGTTCGACTCCGTCCCTAGAAATCTTCTTTGTGCTTTATTTGGCCTTTTTAACTTTTTTGGATTTGAGCGTCACTGATGAGTCTTTTGTAGACGAATCACGCATCTGGCGTATATACAAAATTTAATCCTGGTATCTATGATGAGTCTATTTGGTATAAAATGTTTAAAGCTGGAACACGTGGAAAGTTCCCTAAACCGCAATACAATCTCTGTACGATTATGTTAAATGCTCCGTTAAAGTTAACGCCCGTCTTACACCATGGTTCAACATCGATTCGGGGGTTAAACAATGATGTTTGATGTCGACTATTCCTTTTGCGGTGTACATAAATGACCTGGCCGAATGAGTAAACAACTTAAACTATGGTATAAGGATTGACGATATTGCGTTAAGCATACTACTGTATGCCGACGACATCACTGTTATTGCGCCGGACGAACACAAACTTCAGAGAATCCAAAAGAGGTTGCGTCTTGGTGTGATGACTGGAAACTTGGAGTCAATCGGTCGAAAACCAAAGTATTGCATTAGGTCTAGTTAATGGTAAACCACAAGTGGTAGGTCATTGACATTTGGTATGCAGTTGTATTAGCATTGGCATATCTCCTTTCCATGAAAATTATTTGGCTCCGTCCCCTTAGTCATGGTCTACTGACTCTGAAAATGTTGCTAAGTTTACATGTATTAGTTTGAGATTAGGTCAGTTCAAGGGGAACCATTTAGAGTAGGCAAATGTTAATTGGTATTCAGTTGTATAAATATTAGCACATCTCATTACCATGGAGAATATTTGGCCCCGCCCCATCAGTCATGGTCTGTCCACTTATAAACTTTTGCTTAGTTTACATGTATTAGTAAATTCGGTGTGAGCCAAGGCTCTGTGTTGAAGACTGTACCTTGACCTATAATGGTTTACTTTTATAAATTGTGACTTGGATGGAGAGTTGTCTCATTGGCACTCATACCACATTTTCCTATATCTAATTAGTTTGTAATTAGATCAGTTTAAGATGAACTGCTTATGTTAAGGCAATGATATTTTGTATGCAAATTTTTTGGCATTTGCAAGTATCGTTTCCATGGAGATTATATAGCCCCACCTCCTCTTCATGGTTCATTGACTTTGAAACTTTTACATAGTTTACAAGTTAATGTTTGTGTTTAGGTTTGTTTAAAGGGAACGACTAATAAGTCAATGGTATTTGGTATGCAGTTGTATTAGCTTTTGCACTTCTCATTTACATGGAGATTGTTTAGCCATGTACCTCAGTCATGGTTTATTGACTTTCAATATTTGCATAACTTATAAAACATGTCTGCCTTTTTTATTGCCAAGTTGTTTATCCTGGCTTTTTTTTCTAACTCAAAACTTATTTAAATTTCATCCTAGCCCCCTAACCCCACTGCCACCCCCCTCCCCCCTAAAAATCAAACAGTAACTTACTAATTGTTCAAACAGTATAGGATGAAAATGTTATACCATTACAACGCATTCAACTTTTTAATTTTAATCATTGCTCGTGTTTCTTCATCAGTATGCTAATAAGCCTAGACGAGATCCATGTCCTTTGCAGCAACACGGCTTCGTGTCGGACCAACTGACTGTCAGATTAACGGACTGTCGGATTAACGGACTGTTGGATTAACAGACTGTCGGATTAACGGACTGTCGAATTATTGGACCGTCTGACTATCTTATCAAAGTCACAGTTTTAGCATTGATGCCAAGAAAAATGTTATCTGTACAAATATACACTACAATAAACTGACCAATCTAAAGGAACATAAATCATGAACATTTAAAAAATAATGAAAAAGTTTAACAACAACAAAAGAGAATAATCTGAACATGCTGAAACTAATGTGTAACATACATATTATGCATAAGTATCCTAAAGTCTAGCTTTAATTCATATCAATACTATTGTAACAATTCTTGTGTACCCATGCATTTACAAGTATAAACAATTTATCAGTGAACTATTTTTATTCACTGCCTACAATAGTTATTTTAAAAAGCATTATTTTTTCTAATCTGTGAGTTTATCTGTTAATCTGCCCCATTATCCCGCCTAAGACCTTACAAGGTTAAAGTTTTGGTTTAAGGTAATTCAAAAGGAAGTTCTAGTCATATCAACATAAAACGTGTTTATTTAGGGTTTTGACCTAGATTTCATTGTTCACTGAACATGGAGATATGATAGTGTGAGCAGGACATGGTGTCCTTTGGACACATATTCTTGTTTATTTAATTTTTTTTAGCAAATTTTCAGTACAATTTTAATTCTATTGAGTTTTTAGAATTGAATTTAGTATCCTCCTGGTGTAACAATTCAGTTCAGGTGACATTCTCATAGATTTACCAGTTTTATTACCTAAGCAATTTTGGCTAAAACTCTGAAAATCTTTTTAAATATTGCTTGATTGAATTAGAATACAATTGTGAACACTTGCAAGAGATCACTATTTAACACATACTGTGTATGCTGTAATTTTGTGCATTTTCGTAAGTTAAACATGCTTCAATAAGACAGACTATGAAACAAAACTGTGCAATGTTCGCCTTTTCAGAATCGAAAGAACTATGGGTAATTTCATTGTATGTACACCAAAATGAAAATTATGTCCTGTCATTGGTTGAATTTCCAATGTTTAGATCGTTTTAACCAATCACAAAGTTTTTGGTGTACATCTTTTAAATATTACCCAGAATTCATTAGATTTTGAAAGATATTTCCTCCATCTTTAGCAAATAAACATTCCTGCTGTAGCATAACAAATTATGTACATGTAGTAGTAATGTGATTAAGTATTTTTCAGCAGAAATATTTTTTTTCTGCAGCACCTATTTATCCGTAAAACAAAGTAAAATAATTACAACATCAACAGCTTAGAAAAAAGAAATCACTGCCAAAATACTGTTTGTTGTTATTAAATTAGATTCATATTAAGCTATAAATTCTTTATTTAATAATTATAAATGATCATTATGCTACATGTATCCCAGCTATAAATTTTCATATTTATGTTATATGATAAATTTCAGTTTATATTTATATAAATATATATATATATATATATATAACAATTTTATGAGACAAGTCTTAAAAATAAACTTAAGTTTGTTTGATATAAAAATTTGTGAATTGAATACACAACTCTCTATGATTAATGTCCAATCTTATCTAATTGGTTTCAAACTTTCTTCTGACATTTCTACTTGGAAATTTGCAATGATATTACATCTTTTTGTCGTAGAAACTGTTTAAAATGCATCTATGGGTGGAACTAGTTTTATTCTCAATAAAAAAATTATTATTATTTGTACAAGGAGGGTACTAACAGCTAACAAATTTGACATAAGATGATTGGATAATATATAACATGTGGATTCATTTCATTTGTGGATACATATCAGTTTTTCAGGAATTCTATAAAATAATACATGTATTCAATTTCAACACACCAGCTTCTTAAAGACAGTGTTGACAAAGCGCACAGTAAGCTTAGCAGCGGGCCATGAAATAGACAGGAAGTACAATATTAGGAAGAAAATGCTCTCCGACAACAAAACCAGAAGCATTTTTAAAATCATTGTTGGTGCATTGAAATACCTAGTGTGTTGAAACAGGGTAGCCTAGGTCAAAGAGAAATAAAAACAAACTGATATATACATTTTGTTCATGCATGAATGAATCCACATGATAGTGTTTCTAGCCTACGACAGTACCTTCTTTTTCTTGCCAACGTTTATAAGTTTGATATCCTAAAATAAAAAAAGATCACATGCTACAGAAACAATACACATCTTCTACATGGGGAAATTACTGTATGGCAATACACTATTCCTTTAAATAATTGCAATTGACTAAAAGTAAAGACATTTTGACACTTGTATGCAAATTTGTCTGCTATTACTTTAAATTATACAAGTTCCTGCAAATTTTTCGTCACAATTTAAAAAATTTGACTTCATAATTACAAAGTGATTGTTGCATGACGTCAGATGGTTATTCATCTAGCAATTTCTAGGGTAATTTCACAGACAATTTATCTAAAAATCTGAAAGTGTATACGTCAATTAGCGCCTAATTTTGCTGCTGATACTGTGCATGCACAGTGCAATACAATATTGCTTGGAAATTTTTACATCATTAGTACAGTGTCTATACATGTATATCTATATAAATATCATAATTCTAGTTTTTCTAAATAACTTTGCCATACAATAAAAGTTTGTGCAAGTTGATATTCTACATAGGATCGAACATAATGTTGTTTTCATATTCATGCAATAAAATCATAATATAATACATGAACAAATGAAGGGGCACTTTAAAATAATTCATTGATATATATTAGTAATGTATACTTATAAATTTATGCAAAAATGTACATGATATTTTAACCTGTTCTTTTTTCTACCTGTAACTTCTTTTGATCATGCATGTATACTATATATAAATAATTAAAGGTTAACCTTATAATTGTATAAGTATCCTAGATTTTGATTGGTTGATAGCTAGTTAAAATTTCTCATGTTTATTTTTAGATGAATTTTCTGCATATTTCATCACCTCCGGGGTATATATACAATGCGTATATGCACAACCAAGTATAGATATTTTTTTCACATTTCTGCCAAGGTATTTATCATAACCCTTTACATGCTTTTTTAATCTTTCAAAGTAAGCCTGTGAGGCTTGATCATTTGTGTGATTATCAAATGAATCTGTTATTGCTATTAATGTCTTGATAGCAAAAGATTAATTGAATTTCATTTCGATTTGTTAAGCTTAACCACCTCTATTGATATTCGGTGTAATTAAATAGATACATCAAGATCAAAAGGGGTTTTGGGGGAAAATATCAGTCTTGAGAAAAAATTTCGCCTATCAGCTCAGGAGATTTTTCCTTCTCTACACTTCATTTTTTGCATTTTCCCTTGAACCTGATTAATATATTGGTTTAATATTACTCAGTGATTCTGTAGATAAAAATGTTAATCTCTTAATTGAAACTTCCAATTTGAGTGAAAAATTAGGCCAAATAAGTCCCTTGCCACACCTCAGTCCATTAGACAGCAGTTAACAATTAACAGACAACACACTGATTAAATCTTTTCTTTTAAGTGCAGTTAATTCTCCTAACAATTGTTTAGACAATTACATTTTGTATAGCAGAAATCTTAAAATTGATTCAAACAAGAAAAACATTAATTGATACATGCAGTCGCCTACACAAATCACGTAAATAGAAGAGATATCAATCAAATACTCAATTTTCTATTTTCTCTGAAGTTGAAATAAAAAAACAGCCATTTATATAATTACCAGACAGAATCCTAAGGATGAAACAATTTTTTGCTTTGAGTTTTAAATTTGACATATTTTTGCCTTTGTAATGAAAACAAATGTTCAGACAGTACAGTAATATGATAGATATTGCTTTTCCATCTGTTTTATAGTGAGAGGGGAAAGGCCTGAAGGTGCAGGATGGGTATAACTTATACATTGTAGTACAAACTTTTCTAAAATTGCCCAATTATAAATTTTGAAATTATAAAGAAACTTAGGTTTCAACTCCCTCAGGCAAAGTTGACCTTAGATGGAATTGGCTATTTGTTTTAGGTATTTTTGTCATACAGCTCTTCAACTGTTTCAGTACTTATACATCCCTTGGATTTCAAATGTTTGGCTTTGAGCTTCCTGATGAAGGTAAATCCAGAAAAGCGCTTCGGACGCATGAAATTATTAAACGTGTTGTTTTCAAGTTTTTACATCACTGGGTCGATACCTCTGCTGGTGGACTATCAGTCCCTGAGGGTATCATCAGCTCAGTAGTCAGTACTTCAGTACTGACATGATTAATAACAAACTTTTCTAAAATTGCCCGGTTATAAATTTTGAAATTATAAAGAAACTAAGGTTTCAACTCCCTCAGGCAAAGTTGACTTTAGATGGATTTGGCTATTTGTTTTAAGTATTTTTGTCATATAGCTCTTCAACTGTTTCGGTACTTATACATTCCTCGGATTTCAAATGTTTGGCTTTGAGCGTTCCTGATGAAGGTAAATCAAGAAAAGCGCTTCGGACGCATGAAATTATTAAACGTGTTGTTTTCAATTTTTTGTAGCTTGTCCTACCCTGCCTTCACAACGGACTGGAAATAAATTGCTGTTTCTTTTGCCTTTTATCATAATAAGTTCCAAGTACAGTTCATTGCTATATTTAGAGATATGGATTAAACATATATAAGCAAATAAACATTTGAAATTTTGATTTGACAAAGAAAATCTTGATTGGACAAAGATGCCTATCTGTTAGCTATAGATGGGTGGACAAAAAGTAAAATCCATAATATAGTGTACTTTTGGCAAACATCTTAACAAGTTCTGTGTCGAACATTGAGTCCAACAAAGAAGGGATGTTAATTCCAAATCTCTAAAAATTATAAGACTTATATAAATCAATTCATGACAGAACGCTGAGGCAATCAACTTTCCTTAAACTTGACAAAAATGAGGTTAAAAAAAAAAGTTTCATTGGTTTATTTCAAGATGAATGCTGGATCTTGCTAATTACTAACAGATTTTCTATTTTAGGAACTGTAATTTCAGTCAGACAGTGGTTGTCATTTGTTGCTGTATATATATATTTCATTTATTGTTTTGTACATATATTAGGCAGTTATTTCTTTTGTCTGAATTGTTTCACATTTTTTCTTTTATAGCTGACTATGTGGTATGGGATTTACTCATTTTTGAAGGCTGTACAGTGACCAATAGTTGTTAACTTCTACTTTATTCTGTCTCTGGTTGAGAGTTACACTTACAGTGTATGTCATTAGCAATCATACCACATCTTGGTTCTTTTGTAGCATTAGATTTGTGTTTTGGAGGTGCCTTTTATCATGTGTATAGGTTTCAATTGGTATGAGCAATGCTCAGAATTATAGGCAGGGCAAGGATACAGTGGTTCCTTAGTCAAATGTTTTTACTCTTTTTAGAATAAATTGATCAGGCTGCTGGTTTTCTCATTTAAATTGTTTCACATTTTTTGTCAGCTTATTAAAACAGTATGGGTTTTGCTCTGATCGTTCAAAGTTCAGTGACTTGTACTGTAGTTGTTTTCATCGTCATCCTAATTGGTTTCTGGTGGCAATCATATCACATCTCCTTATTTCTATATTTAGTTGGTAGTCACAAATTGTCTCCAAAATATCCTTTTTTTCATACGAATTCTCTACTTTTTGCAGAACTTAAGAGTTTGAAATTAATCTTGTGCTTCATTGTAAATCAACAGAATAATGACTTTCAAAAAATTAACATACATTTTTGTAGTTGCAAACTCATGTTTCACCCAAGTTAAGGTACTAAATTACCAAAAAAACAAAATGACCCAACATTTAAATCCCACAGGGTATGTCAACAGATATATGCAAGGCATGGAATTTAATGACAAAAGTTAAATAGGAGAAAGGTCACACAGTTGACCTTGAGATGTATTACCTTTCGTTTTCTTATATCAATTCTGCCTCATTGACAAACATGTACATACACCCTATACTCCCCATCCCTCTTTCCTCCGACATACCTCAATTTAATTATGATATTATCATTATTCAAAAATACCATTCACTTTTACGATGCATAGATGTCATGCATGCAGTGTGACATTATTTACCTTGTGGCCATAAAATGAATTATTTTATGACAACATCGACCTTAACAAATCTGTACAATGATATGTAGAGGACATTATGCTATTCTCAAAGTCAATCATCTTCTGTTCATTGCCGACATAAATATAATTTTTCAAAATATTTATTTCAAATAATACATGTATGTAGTAGAATGGTTTTGAAGTGAGTAGGGAAGGCGAATAAAAGTGTCTTGAAAATGTCAACTTTACAATAACCTGAGGACAGTCCAACCCATTAATAAGTTGTATGATTTATTAAGAATGTACATAAAGATTTATGTTGAGATATTAGTAGAATTAGATAATTAATCAATGTTACAAATTGAAACTGAGTATGGATTTGACATGCAGCCAGGTGTTTCAAGATGAAACTAATGGAAAAGCTACAAATTTGAATTGAACACAGTCTAAGTTTTCCCCACAAATTCTTTGAAAGAAACTTGAACAAAAAAGGGGCATAAGGGGTTGACCTAAAAGATAGTTTTCTTGAATTTTGTAGGCATGTGTCTAAAAATTAATGAGAGGGTTAAATTTTAAAGGACAGGGCGCTAACTAATGCATGCCCACCCGGGACCGCTATGCATACATTTTCTCTAGGGAAAACACTGTCAGAACAACAACAGATAATCTAAATAAAACTGATGCTTGACTAAATCATATAAATGTCTAGTACATGGCATCTTATCAAAGGCAATCATGTTTTTGACATGCATCTTGGTGTCTGCAGATGTGTGCAAGTATATTTTGAACAATTTAATATTGCACATAACAGAAATAGTTTTGAATAGCTAAAAGAAAAAAACATTAGCTAAGAATATATATTTCAAATGGTATACAACATGTACACAGTACAGGTACCTGTATATCAAATCATTAAGGCCATTGAAAATTGAATGTTGGTTTCCCCTAATTCAAGAAAATTTTAAAGAGTCGGCAGGCAGGAAAATCTTTTTATTTCATTTTTTGGGCTAAAAATCAAATGAGGCACGTGCAGTTTCTCTCTACAGAGATTCTTTCTTAACCATTGACAGGAAATACTTGAAAAAAAACTTTGACATTATATCTTGGTCTATATTGTGATATGAGCTGATCTTTAAGAATATCAAATGAAACATTTTCTATGAAATTTAATAAGACAATTAAAGTGTCATTGATAATAGTCTTATAAGAGAGTCTCAACCTTTTTTTTTTTCTATCTGTTAAAAAAAAATTGCCTTAAAGGGTAGAAGCAGACCTGCCAAGGTTAAGGGAATGCATGGCTGGATCAATTTTAGAAATTTACTATGTACATGTATCTAACATGTTTGGAGTAACCTAGCTTCATTCCAATATCAAAGAAGTTAAATACCTGTATAAAAGGTCACATTTTGAACAAAACAGACAAATTAAAGTAGAGTTACAAGCATACAAGAAAAGTGATATTGAATATCTGTGAAAATTAACTTCATCAAAATAATATATGTTTTTTTCATTTGTTCAACATCTCTCAAACTTTAGTCCTGAAATGCTTCAGGTATCTTAACTGGCATTGAGAATCAATCAATAATTTTCTAGCTACATCTTGAAAAATAAAGTTTCACAAAATCAACAGTTGAACTTACAAAAACGTTCTGGCATAAAAAAAATACTTGAAATATAGACGACTGAATTTAAGATTTAATAAAAATGTAATTTAAAAAGAATCACAGACTGAGTAAACTGACTAACATGACTAAGAAGTGTTTTTAATACTTTTCCTAAAAAAAAAAATGGTTACTCTCAAAAACTAGACTCTTGACTAACCTTTAGCTCATTTTCTAATTCAGTAACAGCAGCTGACGGACGTCTAGTTCTACTCAACAGTGGCTGAGATGTTGTCATGGTGACAGAAAATCGAAATCCCTCAATAAGTAACCGAGGATGTTGTATATTGTGAACTAAGAACCTTGGAGAACCGACTAAATTGTGCCTTTTACATCAGGTAAATTCAATGAACAAGAAAAGATGGCGGAAATGGTAATTAGATGAAAGGATTACCTGAAGGAAAACAACAGATATTAATTGTACTAAAGGTGTTGAAATGACAAGTGACACATATTTTTACAGACAGGACATCTACAATGTATGTAAAAAATTTGAAGTATAATAAAATTTAAATAGACCAAAACTTAACTCCATCTTGAATAACTTTGTTAAGACAGCATCATATGTGAGTAAGCCCTTCAGTTTTATTTTTTTCTCTGAAATCTCCCCCTCCAAAAAATCCCACAAAAAACTTGTTTTTGACAAGAACTTTTTCTAGGTGAATAAATAAACACACAAACAAAACTTCTTGTACAAAAAATTTAACAGGCTACTTTGGTTTGAAGAAATTTGATCTTGAAGTTTCAGAGAAGAAAAATCTGAATACTGATCAAAGCTGAGATTTGCATCTTACAACCATGTTTTTTTTTATTGGACATGAAATTAATCAGGAAATTATATGGTGACCAACTAGCTGGGTTGTTGTTTAACCTCCAGTTGCAGATATTACATGCAAATCATGATAGAACATGTAACTGTGATATGAATATGAACCCAGATTTGTACTACATGTACATGTAGATCAGAACACTGAGCAGGATTTTCTACATGTATGCTACAACAACGTTAATTTAGCTCATAAGGTAACAGTGGCTAGAAAGACATGTCTATAATAATTCCATTAATTACCAAGAAGTGCTGTCAAGCATGTCAAGCCCAGGATCATGAAAACATCCTACTTAAAAATAAAAAAAAATTCAGGTCTGTTTAAAACCCAAATAAACATGATAAAGGCTGCCTTTTCATTGGCAGTTATGTTTTACTCAAAAATGCATGTTTAGTATGTGGATAAGTCGTTCTTTTTTTTTCTTGTGTATCTTATATCAATCAATAAATTTTAAGAAATTTATATTGTGGTCAACTTTTCTTCATCAGATTTTCAAAATATTTTCTCTTTAATAATCTCAGAAATTTTTGCTGTTCCTTACTGCTGCTGTACATGTCAAATATTTTTTTATTTCTATATTTTCAAGAGTTCAAGTTTAATTGCAATCTTTGGTTCTACATCACAATGCTACAAATTACAATGTATAATATATAACTATATTATTTGGGGTCTGGGTGGTCGAGTGGTCTAAGTAGTTACTACTGTAATCACTAGCCAGTCAACACTGAGGCTGTGAGTTCGAACCCCGCTCGTGTGGGTGCACTTGACTCCTATCTTAATTGACTATGATTGTCAGTTTTCCTAGTGAAGGTCGGTGGTTTTTTCCGGGCACTCCGGCTTCCTCCATCAATGAAAACTGGCCGCCATGAAATAGCCCAAAAGCGGTACTTAAAAGTGGCGTTAAAACACAAAAAATAAAAAAATCAATTATATCTATACTTTTGCTAACCAAATGAAACTTTTCCACAGAGTCATCTCCTATTGTTCAATCTATTTAAACTTTTGTCAGTTCTATTGTTCCATTAAATCCAATAGCTATTGTTCTCTGTGTAGTTTATTCACTGGGACCTTTAAATTTCTTCTAGGAGAAATCCATCACTCATCAATTAATTTACCTGAGTAACAAAATTATCTTCTAAAAAATGAAAATACAAGTTTTATAAACTCACAAAACTGCATGTGATTTTGTATTTATTCAATATCATTAATATATTTTCAATCTGTTCAATATAAACAATGATTTAAACATTAAAAGTTGATTTCTGACAAAATTTTCAACATTGTTCCTTGAATTTGTTTTGTTTTTTTTTGGTATCTGACAAATAAAAACCTGAAAATGATGTTGTTTAAGTTAATGCCTTCTTAAATGTATTCTATAACTAAACAAATACCAAAAAATGCAAATTTCAATAGGAACAATGCTAAAAATTTTGTCAGAAATCAACTTTTTATGATTAAATCAAAGTTTATATTGAACAGATTGAAAAATATATTATTAAAATATATTGAATAAATACAACAGTACATCACATGCAGTTTTATGAGTTAAAACGTGTATTTTCATTTTTTAGAAGATAATTTTTACTCAGGTAAATTAAACAATGAGTGATAGATTTCTCTTCAAAGAAATTTAAAGGTCCCAGTGAAAAAACTACACAGAAAACAATAGCTATTGTATTTATTCAATGAGACAATAGAACTGACAAAAGTTTAAATAGATTGAAAAATAGATGAATCTGTGGAAAAGTTTCATTTGGTTCACATAACAGGTGACCTCAAAAATTTATGTTATGTTTAACTTATATCATGTATACATGGTATATGTATATTATGAATTCTGAAAAACTAAGATTTTAACAAAACTAGCATAAAAAAATTTATATATATGATCATTTTCCAATATTTCTGAGTTTAATGATGACAATTTTTTGGAAATAGGTTTGGAAATGAGTTCAAAGTTTTGGATAATTTACAAATTTGTATCTGTATATATAGTATATATACTTTATATAAAGAATAATATATACATAGCAGAAAAACAAAGGATATGGGGTATCCATCGATGGACACAAAATCAGTACATGCACAGCGAAAAACACACAAAAAGCAAAGGAACAGCACTTTTATTGCTGTTCTTCATCTCAAAGTCACAGTGAGGCCTTCAACACCTCACTGCAAGTTTAAGACAGCCCCTAGCACCGGCTTGAGTGGAATTCTTTGCAAAAATAATTTTGATAGACTTTGTAAGATGTAACACCACCAAAGCCGGCCTGGTCAAAAAAAGGGGATACTGGAAAGTTGTACATACATGTATTTAAAACAAATTAGTTCCTATGCATACATGTAGGTGTAAATATAAAACTATGTAGAATATACATTTTTTATGTATTTTAGTAATTGAGGTATCAGATGAAAGGTGAAGGACTGGTGATCCTTGTAGAACACATATTGACTGATAATTTTGAATAATACAAAAATGTATGAATGAATTTTAAAATTGAGGGCATATATTGCCTGTTTACATACATTACAACTGTATACATTTGTAACAGGTAAACTATTGAAATGAGAATGAATTGACTACAAGCTGCTGTTTCTATACCTGGACTGTCAGTGACTGTGATTGACAAATTGTAAACACTGCATTTTACACACAAAATGCAAGGTCTAAAATGTTGTTGTATAAATGCTGCTTATGCATAAGCTATAAATGTTCAGTCAGATTCAGAAAAATTTTTGGTCCTGCAATATCTTTGCAATTTGTTCAAAAATATTAAAAGAACTACATGCAACTTAAAAATATGGCCAAAATTAATATTAGACAAGCATTGACTTTTTATTAGAAAATACTTGCTAAAAAAGGAGGCAACTATACCAAATTCCATTGTCTCTTTCTGGCAGAAAAAAAACAGGTACAATGTACATGTATGTAGGTATAGGGTTGAATAATTTTATCCTAAAAAAATACATATATCACTTACATAGACTAGTGAAAAGAGAAATGTCCTGGACTTTAACAGTGCTTAACAAAAAATGTGTGGACTTAAAACAATGCTTAACCATAAAAGTCCATAAAATGTGCGGACTGAAACAATGCTTAACCATAAAAGTCCATAAAATGTGCGGACTTAAACAATGCTTAACCATAAAAGTCCATAAAATGTGTTAGGGTAAGCAAAACAAATATGGGTAGGTTGGAGAGCAAGAAACACACTAATGTTTTCCAGGCATCTACCTGACCAGGAATTTGTACTCAACAGCACATGCACCCTTTCTTACTCACAAAGTATGGCGGATTGGCCATGGTATTCAACAAAGATTACAGTGTACATGGTGTATACATCTCCAAATATACACCTCTTGACAAACTAAAAACACCTTTTACTGTTGTTCTTCATCTCAAAGTCAAAGAAAGGTCTTCAACACAAGAAAAGCCACATCTCACTACAAGTTTAGACAATCCCTAGCAAGAATTTGAGTGGAATTCTGAGCTATATGTCCTTCACATTACATCTGCATTGAAGAACACAGATATTTATGTAAGGCCCAGCTAGATCATTCTTTTTATATGATACACTACACATGCTTTTTTCGTCCTTGCTACATGTACCTTTGCACCCTGCTCCTTTCTGAAAGTGTCATTTTGCCGGCCTGTCCTTTCATTGAGATGGAGTTACACACTATAAACATGTGATAACTACCAAAGAAATCTTATAAATACAGTCATAATTTGCCTTACAATTTGCAGAAGGATACTAAATCTAAGATTTTAAACCACTACCAAAGCAAGTACATGTAGTTTGTTAATTTGGAAGTAATGTACATTGTAAAATAAGACAAATAGTCAGTGGGACTGCATACATGTACATGTATAAACAATTTCAATAACAAAAATAGATCACAACAGAAAGAGTAAATACATTTTGTAGCAGTACTGTAGATATCATCCAACAGTAACATACATTTGTGTGACTGATTCCAGCTTAAAGAGAGGCGAAAGATACCAAAGGTCACTTTCAAACTCATAAGTCGAAAATAAACTGAAAATGCCATGGTAAAGTAACAAAACGACCAAAAGACAAACAACAGTACACAAAACACAACATAGAAATCTAAAGACTGAGCAAAACGAACCCCAACTAAAACCGGGGGTGATCTCAGGTGCTCCAGAAGGGTAAGCAGATCCTGCTCCACATGTGGCACCTAAAAATTTTAGTTACCATCCCATCATGCACAGATGATTTCAAACAGTTTTTTGCTTTTTTTAGACTCTTTGGTAATGTACAAATACCGGGAGGTGGTATGGTCTTTGTACAAATTAGGAATATATTTTAAAAACACTAAAACAGTTGAGATTCTTGTATTTTATATATGTATTAACTGTATCCCTGTATAATTTCTATATTGAAACCAGTGCATGTTTCTTAATAAAGTTAGTTTAACTATCTTTATTACACTCTACATTATACTTCTACTTGTACAAGGCAATATAAAGACAATAATAAACATGTCAAAACTTTTATTGTGGATATTTCCAGCAAGTTTTTCACATTTGATTTTTTTTTTAAATTTAAGTTTACATATCTAATACTATTTTATGTCGTGTATATTGTATGCAAGTACTAGTACTTGTCCTCTTGAGTAAATTTTAAATAAAAATGTAAGATTTGTTCAAAAATCATTTTTGACTAGACAATAATCAGGTTTTGAAAACATACACTTTATAACATTATTTTATCTGACTTGAATATTGTAGTTTAGCTGCCTTTAACATGTTTAACTCTAAGAAAGCACATTATTTTAAGCATACAGAACCCCTTCCTCTTAGTTCAATTAACCTTTAAAATGCACTATGTGCATGACTTGTATACATGGTATGTATACATGTACAAAATGTACAAGCATGACAAAACTGTTTATTTTTTTAGAGACATATTAACAAAGTTCAAACACATACTTGTGCATTACAAATGTACAATACTATATATTTTCAATTAAAAGAGAAGTAAAATCTGTTCTAGTATACTGTTTCTTTTATACACATGATACATGTAGAATGAAAAAAGTAAACTTCAATCATGTCAATAAGCATGTTTTAAGCACATGCACACATAATGAAAAAAACTATTTCATCTACATTTTTTCATCATTCTTATATTTATACATATATAATTATCAGTGTAAAAATAGTTTAAAACATGTATTTCTGTTCATCAACATGATGGATGATAATTTTTTCAAAAACACGCTTAATAAAACTGTAAAAGCGAGCCCAAAAGTAAGAATAACAAGAACCAGAATTTCAGACCTGCCAACTTTCACCATTTTTGGCAGATTTCACCCATGAGAGACTGATTCTACACTATGTGAACTGCATGAATACCTAGAAACAGGCATGCATACTATAAGTTTAATGACATTTAAGCACATATGTACTGATTTAAGGCCACATTATATTAGATTAAAGACACAGACGTGTATGGCATGTGTTCTAGACACAATATAAATTAAGTATGGTGCTCTTGTACATGTACAAAAGTCAAAATGTATGTACTTAAAATCCCCATCAGAGATTTTGAGAAGTTGACAGGTATATGGGAATTGCAGTTACCAAATAACTCATTCAAATGAATCTTGTAAAAATAATGTCCATACTTTTTGAATTGTACCTAGAAATAATTACTGCGACTGTTTTTCTTAATTTATATATACACTTTCACTGAAAGTGTACATGCACTTTGATTTTTTTGACATTCAGCTGCAGTTTTAAGGGGATCCCCACTTTGCATGGTTAAAAAAACAAGAAAATATGCTTTTAAAAGTAAATACCCTTGTAGATCTTTCAGTCTCCGATAATTTTTTCTCAAACTTTAATCCTGGGTTTGGCTTCACTGCCAGAATGCCAGCAGAATCACTCCTTCCTCCGTTTTCCATGTCCTCCGACATTTTGGCATTCTCTAATCACGTGATATATACTACTAAAAATATCACAAATACCACGTGGCACATCTCGAAATCTTATCTGGCGGGAATAATATGAATCACAAATGCGACTCGTTTTTTACAAATATATATTTCCAACTCGGGGGGGACCACTTCAATACTTAATTGATAGGGAGTGCCGCTGGGGTTGTGTTATCCCACCTTTTTCATATAACTTAGATTTTAGAAATGTATACCTTTTCTTACATTGCGGGTAAAAACAGAGACATATATATGAGGGAGCGGACAGGGTAAAGGGAGACAGGGAGAGAGGGGGTGTGAGAAAGGAGAGAGGGGGCGGGAGAAAGGAGAGAAGGGACAGGAGAAAAGAGAAAAGGGGTCCTGAGAAAAGGGAGACAAAAATGTATATGAAAATTATTAAAATTTAGCTGGAAAACAATTATCTTATTAAATTAGTTAATAAAAAACTTCAAGAAAGTGCTAATAAAAGTAAAATAACAAAAATACCGAACTCCGAGAAAAATTAAAAACAGAACGTCCGTAATCAAATGGCAAAATCAAAAGCTCAAACACATCAAACGAATGGATAACAACTGTCATATTCCTGACTTGGTACAGATATTTTCTTTTGTAGAAAATGGTGGATTAAACCTGGATTTATAGCTAGCCAAACCTCTCACTGGTATGACAGTCGCATAAAATTTCATAAAATGTCATAGTAACGAAAGCGACCTCATAAATACTCCGAGCGTCGTCACTAATTCATTACGATCTCTCATATACGGAGAAAGACTAAAAACTAACAATTTCTAGGATTTTATAGTGAGTCTGTGCAAGTTTAGAGACACATGTCACATCCTTGTTTTTTAGATGAATTGCTTCAAAGTTGACCGATATGCATAGAATTTGGCAGATAAAGGATGACGTTACTGAATATCTGAGACTATATGTGTTATAGTAGTCTCAGTGAATATAGAGTAAAGTTATTGTTACTCAGAGGTATTGAAAAAATATGTAACGGGATCTGAATCGTGTTTGATATTTTGATTTCACTCCCCTGTCTGGTTTCGTAAATTTTCTATTAATGCTACTGATTTAACTTTATTTCGAACTAACTGGGTGCACATCAGTCTGCTTAGAAAAAAAATATCTTCAACTTAACCCTACCAAATTAAACAAAGATAATGCCACCGCTACTTCCATGCATGGATAAAGTGCTTCAAAAATTTGATTCAGTAAACAGTGATTTTTAAGTACAACTTGAATTGATTGATTTGAGGTTGCAAAATGTCCGGTGGCAAATATTTCAGGCATGTTCAGGACGACACAATACAATTTGAAATAGGTGTGCCTAAAAGACACATTTTGAATGCAGCCATCAAAAAAGGTTACTAATAAAAACATTCCGTCAGTTGTAAAAGTGATATATAAATTAATACATATTTTTAAGATAGTATATACTCTATATGATGTAAACGTGTGGGTTGTGTGCGGACAAACCTTGCAAACTGTATTTCAAAAATACATTTGAAAAGACAAAGTTCAACATTCTGTCATTCGAGAAAAATTATACAATAAAAAATGAGAATATATATGCATCCTCTATAAGTAAAACAATCGGCGCATTATAAAAGTTTCACCTTGAAATTGTACACTGTAGGAGTATGTCGGACTATGTGCTCTGCGTGCCTTTACATATTTTCAAAATGCCAAATTTAGCAACCTGACATTTAAAAAAAAATCCTGACAATATGCACACTTATGGTATATATATATTCTAACAGGTATATAATTTAATGTAAAGTTGAAGCTAAAAAAAAATATAGCACTAAGAAATAAATTGTATATAAAACCCTTAACTATATATATACCAAGTGAGGGACGGGCGGTCAAATTTACACGGGTACAAAAGTATGCTCCCCGCATTTTGCCGAGGGATCAAAATATATATTAAGCGTATATGATTATGTTCTGACTATTTTACAAGGCATTTGGTGACAAAATATATTTTTTAATAAGCAGTTCATAGTGGAATGTAATTGGGAAATCTCAATTGTACATCATGTCCAATTCAAACAACAAAACACACCCATCCCTGTACACCCAAGTGTGAATTAACATGAATCTAAATCAAAATGATGTTAAAATGTCAGTTTGTATGCCCCCGTTACTTAAAATTGTAGGGCATATTGTTTTACCCCTGTCCGTCCGTCCATCTGTCCGTCCTTCCGTCCCATTATATAGTTATTCCGCATAACTTATCCTACATTTTGAATCCTAGGAAGTTTTCACTTTGCTGTCTGTTTGTACATATATTGAAGGTGTGCATGTGGTCAGGGTTTTGATTTTTATTAATATTTGCTCTTTTGGGAGATAGGTGAACTTTGTCATTTTTTGGAGTATTTACTTGCATAAGAGGAGCGTTTCCGGATAACTCCTCCTACAGTTTGAATGCTAGGAAGTTTTCACTTTGCTGGCTGTTTGTACATACTAGTATATTAAAGGTGTGCATGTGGTCAGGGTTTTGATTTTTATTAATATTTGCTCTTTTGGGAGATAGTTGAACTTTATAACATTTTTTGGAGTATTTACATTTTTTGGAGTATTTACTTGCATGAGAGGAGCGTTTCCATTAAACTACATAAGTGTCCTTACAAACAACGGTATATTGCTGGGTCTTCCAAGTGCTCCACGAAACCTCTTTCTAAATTATTAACATCTATTTTATCAGCAATCAAAGCCGGGCTCCAAAGTTATTGTGAAACTGCCTATTCTAGAGGTGGCGTGAATCAGATGTGGATACTAAAAAATTCCAAAGATCTTTTAGAGTACATACAATCTAAGACTCTCTCATCTTGCAATAGTATTAAAACATTTGACTTTTCTACACTTTACACAAATATTCCCCATTCCAAACTAAAAGACAAATTGAAAGAGTTGGTATTACTTTGTTTCATTAAAAAGAATGGCGAACGTAGATACAAGTATCTTGTCTTGGGGAGGAATAAATCCTACTTTGTAAAGAATCACTCTGATTCAAACAAAAAATTCTCTGAAACTGACATTATCAAGATGCTTGATTTCTTGATTGACAACATATTTGTTACGTTTGGAGGACGTGTTTTTCAACAGACTGTCGGAATTCCAATGGGAACCAATTGTGCCCCTCTTCTTGCCGACTTGTTTCTTTATTATTATGAGACTGACTTCATACAGGAATTTCTTAGGAAGAAAGATAAGAAGTTAGCAATATCTTTTAACTTTACGTTCCGCTATATAGATGATGTTCTCTCACTAAATAATACAAAATTTGGTGACTATGTTGAACTAATCTATCCCATCAAACTAGAGATAAAGGGTACTACAGATACATTTAAGTCTGCCTCATATCTTGACTTGCATCTAGAAATTGACAATGAGGGTCGGTTGAAAACAAAACTTTACGACAAAAGAGATGATTTCAGCTTCCCAATTGTGAACTTTCCATTTCTATTTAGCAACATTCCAGCAGCGCCTGCATACGGAGTATATATCTCCCAATTGATCCGATATTTCCGGGCTTGTATTTCCTATCATGATTTCCTTGACAGAGGATTGCTGCTCACAAGGAAGCTATTAAACTAAGAGTTCCAAATGGTGAAGTTGAAGTCATCCCTTCGTAAATTTTACGGACGCCATAACGAGTTGGTTAACCGTTATGGAATAACCGTTTCACAGATGATATCGGATATGTTCCTTATGTCGTAACTACAATACCCTTCCCTTTTCACGAATGTTACCTACCAAATAAGACTATTTACCGGATTTGTAATAACATAAGCATAAAACGACGGGTGCCACATGTGGAACACGATCTACTTACCCTTCCGGAGCACCTGAGATCACCCCAGTTTTTGGTGGGGTTCGTGTTGCTTAGTCTTTAGTTTTCTATGTTGTGTCATCTGTACTGTTGTTTGTCTGTTTGTCTTTTTGTTTTTGGCCATGGCGTTGTCAGTTTGTTTTCGATTTGTGAGTTTGACTGTCCCTCTGGTATCTTTCGTCCCTCTTTTTAAGATAACTCCTCCTACAGTTTGAATGCTAGGAAGTTTTCACTTTGCTGGCTGTTTTTTCATATATTGAAGGTGTGCATGTGGTCAGGGTTTTGATTTTTATTAATATTTGCTCTTTTAGGAGATAGTTGAACTTTGTCATTTTTGGGGTATAAGCGGTTAAATGTTATAGTTATTTTCAAATGACACTTTGCATCTGCGGGGGCATCAATTGTGACTCCCAGACACAATACTATCTCAAAGAAAGTCCTACATTGACTTTGTTATAATACTGTTACTTCAGAGTGGAGTGCGGGGGCATCACTTTGTCTAGTTTCAGTTTGTTGACTTTCTGTCGTTTTAAAGGGCACTAACTACGAGATACATAACAAATATAAAATATTAATTTTTTTTGTTCAAACATTAATGAAAGTGAAATAATGGAATAATAATTCGCTTTTAGTAGCCAGTACGGTCGAATTTTGTCAAAATAAGCTAAGAAACATTGATGATGAATTATTCACTTGCAAGTGAATAATTCGACCTCATTGAATCCGTATTCATGTGAACTTCAATTTAACCCCTTAGCTAGAGATGGATAACGCATGAATTGTGTGCGTGTTTGATTATTTAAAGGAAAAGAATGTCAACATTGAAAGTGAAACAAAGGTAAATCATTTGATTGACTGATTCGATCCTCAAAAAAATCATTCTTATACAGGTAAAAATGACGATTAACATATATTTTTAATCTATAAATGAAATTGAATAGACCTAGAAGAATCCAATTCCACGAGTTCCGCTATCTATGTATATCTATATTTATGTTTATATCGCTAGTATGGGCATCGGTGGTATTCGGGAGGTCAACTCGATAGTTAATTAGATGACGTCTAAACCAAAATACACACGAAACGAAGCTAAATATTATGATGCCCATGCCATGTACACTGTTTATTTTAGACTTTTTATAATTTGGATAAATGTTTTACATTGTTATAAAACAAATAT